CGTTAAGGCGGAACGAATTGTTTATAGCCGGCATTAAACCGTAGCGGGAGTGGCGACGCGCGTATTGTGCGGGTGAGACTCTCGGGGGAACGTGAACCCTCGAACCCTCTGATTTAAACAAAAAGGATTCATGACACTCATGAATTTGAAAACACATGCCCCCAAAATAATTTCACTCGCAAAAGAAAAAAAAATACAGTACGTACCTACTTCGCTTTTTATCTAAATTCAAATCAGCTACTGTCATATTAAGCTCGTTCTAGTGGAAAAAAAATGCATAATACCTATCTTTTTTTTGTATCTAATAATACTGAAAATTTCTTTAAAACATAAACGATAAGTTTAACAACAATTTTCCGAACGAGTTGTCGGCTCGGCGACGAAACCCAATTCGAGGTAATTTATTTAAGTAATTTCACAAAGCGAAGCCGCGTACACCATATTAAAATTTTCCCTCGGAACCGCAAAGTAGACGCAAACACAAAATTAAAGTCGTCGACACTTAAAGGGCTCTAAGTTTCGAGGAGAGTTTCCGTGAAATTTCTCTCGGAATGTCGAAATGGCGGATGAGTTTCGCAAGTCAACTCAATTATCGTTTTAATTAAGGCGCTGTGCCACGTGACATTTGTTTGCGTGCGTGAAAGTGATCGCGCCCCGCTCCCCCTAGACGTTCCCCCCCTCTCCTCTCTTCCTGTTAATTGTGCTAATTACTCCTGTAATGGAGCAAGGGCTGGGGTGAGATTGCTTATCGACGGTTTCCCCGGGAATTTATGTGATACAATTGTAAAGCCGTTCATTAATTAATATCTCGAATTTTAAATAAGGAANGTGACATTTGTTTGCGTGCGTGAAAGTGATCGCGCCCCGCTCCCCCTAGACGTTCCCCCCCTCTCCTCTCTTCCTGTTAATTGTGCTAATTACTCCTGTAATGGAGCAAGGGCTGGGGTGAGATTGCTTATCGACGGTTTCCCCGGGAATTTATGTGATACAATTGTAAAGCCGTTCATTAATTAATATCTCGAATTTTAAATAAGGAACGCTTTTACACCTTCGCTGCCTTATTCATTTAAAAAGGTTTTTCTTCAATCTTAATATTAATTATAAGGTAAAAATTTATTCTACTAAACATAGTCGTTTTCTTTAATATCAAAAGTTACATTTAGAGACCTATTGATGAAAATGTTCAACGGCAATTTCGTTGGGCACGTTTCCAAAAGCACAATGCAAGCATTATAACGTATGGCAGCTTCCGCGAAGACCATTCATAGCATTTCGGCATAATAGCTTGCACTCTCGAACAGATTGCCGGGGGTAGCCAGAGGCGAGCGAGCGCGTCACTTCCACAACGAGTACCAGGCAATTTGGTTATTTGAGGTCGGCCATAAACCGATAGCGAACGCAGTAAACGCAATCCTCCACTCGCGACTATAAACTTTACGAGTCACGTAAAAACGCGCTCGAAACGCCGACTCGCTACCATAAATTTATGCTAATGTATTCTTTATAGGAGTTTAATGTGTATTCAGAATTCCACCATTATTTATGTATACGAATGAACCGGTAAAGTTAATTTTAAAGTCGCACAGCGCCCCGCGGTTTACGCGTTCGCAAGCTATTAATTTTTTGTGACTTTCTGTGGCCCTCGTTTCCGACTAAAGCGGATTCTTGTTTCCGAATCATTATATTTAGTATCACGTAGATCGGTAGCGACAAACTGTTTAAATAATTATCATTAAACATAATTTGTTCATTTCTATATTTAGTAGTATTCTTGCAAATACTTTATACGATAATGTTCTACTTAAAGATAGGCAACTTCGAAAACGTACAAAAACAAAATCATTCGTTGAAAGTAATATAAAACGCTAGTCATATAAAACGGATGGCCCCGATAACAGCCGAAAACGTCGCGTGTAAATCACGTAACTTTTCAAAACTATTATGCCTGAAATATAGTCCGAACTCAATCCGTACATTTCCGAGCGACGGGCGGTCTATTTATCTATTTCCCCCGTTTCCGCCCCCGAGCGTCCGGTTAACCGCCCCCCTTCCGGTTAACCGGGCGGCGGCAGAGCGGCGCGCGCGGCTAAACGGCTCGTCGCGTGACCGCAGACAATAAGCCCGGGCGGCGTTAACAGCGCGCCTGTGTGTTGCCACTTTATATGTTACGTCACTAAGCACTCCTCTCCCTCTAGCCGTCCGCCTCTTGACGAGGCACATGTGTACGACGTGACCTCTACGCCAGACGGCCACCATATACTTGTGGTACGTGTACTAGTGTACCCAATGCTTGTGGTGTACCACTAATGTCGCAAGTGACTAATTATGATCGTTCTACTGGCCACTTCGGAATTTTTCATCGCGGTAGTAAATACTCCTTTCTTTAAATTTACGATCATAATAAGTAAAATGGAAATTTTACAAATTTTGTAACGCAAGTTGTGGTTGTAGTTGCATTAACGAATAAACAAAAGAAATTCGGAACAAAATTATGTTTTCACATACGCATACTTGCAGACACGTTTAACAATAAGAAGTGATTCATAATGATTATTACCTTCCATTTAAATAATCTAAAAATACGCAAAGAAAACAATAAATTAGTTTGGTTTGAAACGAAATTATAAAACACACTATAACAAAATATAAAAATGTTCGGCAGCTGACCGCAAATTCCGTCTATGAAATTAATGATAAACCGCAAACCGTCTACAGCTGAATGAATAATTGGTAGGAGCAACGTGGAGTAGGTATATTCGTTTGACTCCGATCTGACACGTCGCATTACAGAAGCCGGGCGTAGTTCTCGAAATTTCCTTTGCTTAAAATTCGATGTTGAACACAGTTGTCGAGTTCCGCCAATCGTAAAATCGAACCCTAGTCATTCTTATCTGAGCTGTCCTTAACACACGACTTAAATACAAAACTAAATATTCAGACAAGGAAGTTAGCAAGGCCATTATATTAACGACATTTTAATGATTGTAGAAGTTAATTGCGTAAAAAAATTTACCGTAGAATGAGCACGATGTACATTATAGTTTACAAATTGAACAAATTGATGTTGTTCTAAGAATTATCCACACAACGATAACAAAAATAAAAAAATTAAATTAACATATTAATAAATTATACCGATCACATTGATTGGAGCTTAGTGAGTAAAAATACTTCTTCGATGTTTAAAAAAATGTTAATTCACGATACACAAAGTAATTTATGTGGTGTGTTAATTTATTATTCATATGTAACCATATAATGCAAATGTTTATATATATTTTTATTACTCATATACATATTTATATACAATAAACTAAAATAATCTATAAATGCTACGCTGTGTTATAAGCATGCTATTATTAAAACTAGTGATCCCGCAGTAGTCGAAATTCGACTATAATTAATTGAAATTATGTCTGGTTCTATTGTCAAAGACTATTATATATCTATAGACAGATTTCGCCAAGAAACATAAACAATATTAACTTATTCTCAATTTGACTTATAGAACATACTTCAGTGATTTGACTACAGACTTTAAGCAATAACAAACGTTTGACAATAAACAAAGAGTGTGTGCGTGTGTGTGTGTCAAATACATGGTAGTGTGTGTAATGTTTTTTTATTGATTTAATGTATTTTTATGCATAATTTAAAAAAAAAATACATTCGGCACTCCTTCTCTATATTCTCTATAAGTGTGGGAAATTTCATACTCCTCCGTCCGCGCAATTTTCGTAAAAAGGGGTACAAAGTTTTTGCTTCACGTATTAATATATAATATACTCTTATTTAAACTATAGCTTAAGCGAAAAGTGAATCTCTGCCTTAAAGTGATATAAGTAGTCTCTAGATATAATAAGAACAAACTGATAAAACCGAGATGGCTAAGCAATAAGTCACAGCGGGCGGCGACAGATCGACGCGGCTAGCAAATTAACAGCGCTTGCCGTTCGACTCTAACTTAGTACCTCGTAAAATTAGGCCCCGTTACGCCTCTCCAGACACGACGGACGGATACGCTCTTGAATTAAGCTTTTAGTTCAACATTGAGATAAGACTAAATTTACTCAATAAAACGATGCTTTCTTGCTATATTAATTAACTAGCGGCCCGCTCCGGCTCTGCTCGGGTTTTTAACAAAAATTTCAACGATATTTGACGTTGTTTTATTTTTTTAAATAAAGAAACGCTTATTGCGGCATAACTATAATAGTTAGACATATGCTGTCGCGATGTAAAGAATATTTTAGGTAATTTTTTTGCACCTTGGGTTACATTATTAGAGTTTTAATAAGGATTTCTAATTTTTTTCAAATCGGTTTAGTAGTTTCGGAGCCTATTCAATAAAAACAAACAAACAAACAAATCTTTCCTCTTTATAATATAATAATAATAATATAGATGTTCACTTTTATCCGTAATGTCATTGAATTCGGCACTTTTGCGTACATTATTAGCGGCATTGTAATTTTATAACGCCGTCTAAAACAGAACTAGATGTGAGCGCTCAACCGTATATTGATAATCCGTAAATTAGATACCTCCACGGCTCGGTAGATACGGTGTGCGGATATGCGAGGATATGTTGTGTCAACACGGGCGGAATCAGTGGAGCGCGCGGCGGTCGTTCGTCACGTATATGATTATTTCATTAGTTCGTATTTGCGCGCTCATCCAAATGCCGCGGTCGGTCTCCCGGTCGGCTGGGCCTCCCCGGCTGCGAGGGGGCGATGACCACTCCCGGAGCTAATCATGCGGTCAGTTTGTTCTGCCTCAGCGTGTTTTGATATTGATATTGACTGTAGCGCTCGCCTCGCTGCGCGTCGATTTATTTGCGAACAATGATCGATTGATTGCCGTAGGTACGTAAGCCCGCTCGTAAACGTTTTGATTATGTTTGCTCGCTGAGTATTTGTTAAACTAACAAAGGACGATACCGATGATATTAAATCGTTTTTCTTTGTCAATTTCATTGAGGTATCCTTTTGTTGTTACAGAGAAATTCCATATCGCCCGGCGAAAGGGAAAAATATAGGACGCGGAGTCCTGCCGAACCTGATCACAAGAAATTAAAAAAAGAAGAGAAAGACATGGGCCACGTAAGTACTTTTACGAAGAATTTATTAACACATTGACTGCCATATAAGTCACCGGTGTCCTACGCGGCGCACTAAAGTAATTATGTCGATTTCTGTTACTAAGGGCCTGGATTGCCTAGCTTTGCCTTCTTTTGTTTTTCACGGTCATATATTTGTCTTTTAGGTCTCTTAGATATAGATTCATTCTCATTATCTTCGGATTCGTCTTGCCCAGAGTCTACTAGATACTCCAGCGCTTTAGCAAGAAGATCGAACCGAGAAATCGACATAATTACTTCAGTGCGCCACGTAGGGCACTAATGACCACAAGGCAGAAAACGTGTTAACCACTATGCAATAAGCATTTATTGATGCTTCACTTTTGCTCAGACAATATAATTAAACTACTCATTTGAAATAATGAATACGTTAATTCAGCTGAAAGCTTATTTTATTCGTTTCCAGGAACTAGTTGTGGATGACGCGAGCGAAGAACCCACTTCACCACACAATGGCGCTCCGTCACCACGAGAAAACGGACTCGATAAACTCCAACCAAAAAAAGAGCATCCTCCTCACAGCCCTAGGTTTGTACAACACTTACTTAAATATTTCTTGAGGATACTTGGAGTTAAGGCTGGTTATTTAAAACAATATCTAGCCATTCATTCATTAAAAGTAGGAACAACAGTAGCATCGAGCGATACAACAATATCAGCACTCAAACCCCACTGTTAGCTAAAAAAAATTTCTAATGAACTACATACTTGTTATAACTCATGTTTATGACGAACAAACACGATGAGGGAATATTATAATTGTAATTTACCTAATTATTATACAAGTATCAAGGTGGGTTGTGGCATTCATGTTATGATGTCTATGGACTACGGTAACTACTTAACGCTAGGTAGGCAGTGTGCCCGTTCACACATTTAAGCAATAAATAAATAAAGCTATTAAAAAACTTTTTATCGTATCGTGCATGTTGAACTTATGTTCGTGTGCTAATTCGTGGTAATAGCTGTATCCATTTAGTAGAAGCCTTAGAGTGTAAACTAGTTGTTAGTGGGATCGTAAGGTCAGTGTACTACACGGCCCGTCTAAGTTGGAAGTTTATCCGCTTCCACAGTGAATCAATTACTAAACTAGGCCACTTCGGTTTACAGTTAGTCTTATTAACGACAATACGAACGGACGCTTTCGCGGATATTTGAACGCAGATAATCTTCGGATTAATTTTATTCATAAATTAATGAAGTTGAAAAAAGTAGCGTACTAAATTTTTCTTTTTAATACAAACTGTTTTCGTTTATATTTTATTATTGGTTGTAGGACGTCTTGTGAGTCCGCGCGGGTAGGTAACACAACCCTGCCTATTTCTGCCGTGAAGCAGTAATGCGTTTCGTTTTGACGGGCGGGGCAGCCGTTGTAACTATACTGAGATATTACAATTCATATTTCAAGACGGGTGTCGGCATTTACCTTGTAAATGTCTATGGGCTCCGGTAACCACTTAAGACCAGGTGGGCCTTGAACTCGTCCGTCCATTGAAGCAATAAGAAAATTGCATTCAACATTTTTGTTCAGTATTTTTTTGTATTAATTTCCAGGTCAGGGACGTCTAGCAACGCGTCAACACCATCAGCAAAGAAATTAGACGAGAAACCGAGCACGCCTATATCGAAGCCCGTGACGCCGACTTCGGGCGCAAGCGGCGCGGGCTCAGCAGGGGCTCCACTCAAGGCCGCAGTCAAACCTCCAGCATTACAGTACCCATACCTCGGCAACGGGGCCCACGACGCGTACGTCCTGGCGGGGTACTCGGCCAGAGGGGCGCTGCCTTACGAGCCGCTGCGTCCCCCTATTGGCCCTGCTGGTCTCGCGCCGATACCTGGCGGTAAACCGTAAGTATTTTATCTGAGACATAGCCCCCCTATATAGAGTCTGGTCTTACCGAATTTCACTGAATTTGGAAAATTTGATTGATACTTAATTCCTCTTTTCCGTGCATTTCATTGACTTGATTCCAATATAAATAACTACGTTAATTTATAAATAAATAATTGTGTAAATTTAAAGTAAATATAAAAGCAACCCCTGACGCCACACTCTTAATGGCGTCGGTTACATTCAGTCCCGCCCGAAAAACAGATAGTCTTCATAACTCAATAACAGTGTTAACACTTCCAGAGCATATTCATTCCACGTATCAGCCGAGGGACAGATGCAGCCTGTCCCTTTTCCCCCAGACGCCTTGATGGGTCCTGGTATACCGAGGCATGCGAGACAAGTCTCCGCGCTAGCTCATGGTGAGGTGGTCTGCGCGGTCACTGTTTCATCGCCCACGAAGTACGTCTACACGGGAGGGAAAGGCTGCGTTAAGGTGTGGGACATCAGCCAACCTAGCAAGGCCCCAGTCAGTCAACTGGATTGTTTGGTGAGTGGGTAACTGTCGTCGAAACATCCTATTTTTAGCACAAAATTACAAAAAAAAAAAAACTTAAAAAAAAAATTTAAACACGAAAGCGTAGTGCACCAGTTTTTCTAATAATAATAAAAAAAATAAAAAAAATATTGCCTTTCACACAGATCCAGATTAATACATTTAGATAAATAAAAGAAAAGAAAAATAAAAGGCAATAGGAGGTGGCTCAGCTAATGCTGTTCAAAGTAGATGCATCGAACAGTGACAACAATACAAAACGAAATAAAAAAAATTAAGACTGCATACTAAAAAAAATTGCTAGGGTATCCTTAAAGCGACATTCCAAAGCCTTAATAAATGTATTTATGTTCCAATTTCAGCAAAGGGACAACTACATACGATCAGTCAAACTGCTGCCCGACGGGCGGACACTGATCGTGGGCGGGGAGGCGTCCAACTTGTCTATATGGGACCTCGCCTCGCCGACTCCCAGAATCAAAGCTGAGCTCACGTCCTCGGCGCCCGCTTGCTACGCGCTTGCTATCAGCCCCGACTCTAAGGTGCTTAAAGTTTTTGTGTCACTATCACTAGATCACTAGATTAGTAGGCAGCGGCTTGGCTCTGCCCCTGGCATTGCTGAAGTCCATGGGCGACGCTAACCACTCACCATTAGGTGGGCCGTGTGCTCGTCTGCCTACAAGGGCAATAAAAAAAACCATCTAATCGGAAGTGCTCATCATCGACCGTGGCAATACCTGATGCATCGTCTCTGATGAGTGCATCAGATCTCTGCGTATCTAAATTAAATAATAAAAAACAGTGCGTGTGCAACTTGGTGTACGTGAATGAAGTGAAGCTTCTTTTTCGATGTGTAGTATTGTGGTTTTCTTCATTTTTCATCCTTAAATCAGATTACTCTTGTAATGCTGTGTATAAGAGATGCGATATCTTTAACATTTATAGTATATATATTTTAAATTCTAAATAAAAAATTAATAAATATATTTTTATAAATACTTCATTTAAATGTTAGACACTACCCGTTGCTACCGCTCGCGCTGGCCTGTAGCAGGTATACTACGAGCATGCGAGCATGCGCATGCGATGCGCATTCACTCTCACTCTGTCTCATTCTAGTATAGTAGCGTTAAAAGTTTAACGCAACATTGTTGGAAGTCGCATTACAAGTTTCACTTCAATAAACAAATGGTAACCAAGGATATGTTACACACATTTCTAAATATAAGGATTGCCTGCTATGGAAACCAGAAACTGTTTAAATATATACACATAGAGTTACTGAACGCCCAGACAAAGAGCAATAAACCTGTTCATTACACAAATGAACCCACGACTCTCGTGACCAGCATTCAGGGGCGTTACCTACTTAGACCACAAGACTGTTTTTAAAAATACAAGTTTTGGTTCGCAAATATGAAAGTGGTGCTTAGATTCTAAATAAATAAAATATCATCCTGGTAACCACAGAAAAAAATAGGTAACAAATAAGCAACAGGTAATAAAATATTTCAAGTGATAAAAAAGTTTTTACGAATAAACACGTTTCGGTTGCAGGTTTGCTTTAGTTGTTGTTCTGACGGCAACATAGCAGTGTGGGATCTCCACAATCAGACTTTAGTACGACAGTTCCAAGGACACACGGACGGCGCATCCTGTATAGATATTTCAGCCGACGGCACGAAGCTATGGACCGGCGGCCTTGATAACACAGTCAGGTACGATACCGCACACTACTTTATCTGTGTCATTCAAATAAAAAAAACTAGTTTGTTTCACGATAAACAAAACATTTATATTCGACTGTGAATGTAGTTTTTAGAAACGAAACATGTTGCTGATAACTATGTTTCTATAATATGATGAAGCGTGTTGCGGATAATAATATGTACTTTTAGGTCATTAAACTACCTTGCATTTTTATTTATATAAATAAAATAAATAAATTTGAAAATTTTGAAAGTTTTAAAAAAATTCTAATTTTGCAGTTTTCGTGTAACATAAAACACATTGCTTAAGATGCTATCGTAGCACGAAATCAATTTTAATGTATCATATAGTGACGTCTTCACTTATTATTATTTTTTACTTAGATGGGTGGACGAGCTCACAGCCCACCTAGTGTTAAGTGGTTACTAGAGCCCATAGACATACAACGTAAATGCGCCACACACCTTGAGATGTAAGTTTTAAGGTATCACAGGCTACAACGGCTGCCCCGCCCTTCAAACCGAAACGCATTACTGCTTCACGGCAGAAATAGGCGGGATGGTTGTACCTACCCGTGCGGACTCACAAGAGGTCCTACCGCCAGTAATCAATGTTAATGTATCATACAGTGACGCCGTCACTTTACTTTGAGAATTTAACTACAAATTGAAAAAAAAACACATGTAATTTACCAATTGCTCCAATTGATATTAGGCAATTCTCATAGAACTCATAGCACAGTTTGAGATTCAAGGAGGATTCAATTGATTTGAAATATTAGCATCTTAATTACTAGACGAACTGCATTATTGTGTGCCAATAGTGGGTAGAACAGTGGTGCCAGGACTCTAGGAATTATTTAGAGAGGAATAGGAACAGGAAATAAGACAAGGGGATGTAACATACTGTTGTCTTTGGGGTTCGGTGGGTTAAAAACTCTCCCACCTTTTGTTTAGCGGCTTTACTATTGGCATAGTAAGATAACCTACCTTGAAAAGCTAAAGTTACTCAGTCATACAGCTTGATATGTTTTTTTTTTCGTTTAGTCGGTTGTGCATTAATAACTTATTAAAACGATTTCTTATTTTTTCTTATTTCGAATAATGATTCATGCGATTTATTCAAAGAGTTAAGGAGTAGTTTGCGCCAGTGGAGATCGCTTATAACTTTGTACCTTTAAATTAATAAAATTACAATTAGTTATTAACTATTTTAGTTTTTTTTTTCGTAGACAATACAAAGATTTTCAATAAATACTAGGATTTTCTTGGAAGGGATTTTTTTTAATTGTTATTAATAAAAGTGAGATTCACTGAAAACTAAATCCAGACTCCATGGTTTTGAAGTCGTGGTCCTTAACCACTAGATCAACGAAGCGATCAATGTAATCATATATTTTAAATTCTTTACAGATCATGGGATTTGAGAGAAGGAAGACAGTTGCAACAGCACGATTTCAGCTCTCAAATTTTCTCATTAGGATATTGCCCTACAGGTAAGTCTGAGTTTTCATAGAATTGTAAAACAAAGCACATTTAATTTAAAAAAAGTTAATAATATACGTTAAAACTAACTATAAATTTTTGTTTTAAATTTGGAAAGTTGAGACAGTGCAATAAATAAATAAATAAATATTTACTAACAGTTACGCCACGTTAACTGGTCCCGTGCTAAGTTCGTAAAGAACTTGTGTTACAGGTACCAGATAACGGATATAAATGTAAGATTTTTTATTATACACATACATATATTTAATATACATCCATAACCCTGGAAAAGACATTTATATTTATCATACAAATATCTTCCCTTGGCGGGATTCGTACCCGCGACCCCTTTGTGTAGTGACCATGTCACTTACCACTACACCAGACGGCCGTTAAATATATGTTTATGGAGTATACATATAAGTATATCATACCGCTTTGGCTTCGAGAATCCTAACATACCGTATATAACTATGGTAATGCAAATGCTTACATACATGTAACATACCTGACGTTTATTTATTAATTTGGATTATTTATTCATTGCACCGAAAATCGGAAGACATTTTATAAAAATCCCCGATCTACATTCTAAATTCAATTCCATTGTGACGTTAGGTTTTTTTGTTTTACGGGCAGTTATACTCGACCTTTTAGTCTAAGTTGTTTGTATTAATAATCTCTAGTAAAACGAGGGGATTTTTCTAAGTCTAACAAAATTTTTGATAGAACTATAGAATCTACGTTCGATGTTTCTGTTCCAGTTCTTTTTATAAAAAGCATATTTATAAGCCCTACTAACTACAAAATGGTTCATAATTAATACGTATTTGTAAAAAAAAAGTTTGATATTTTCGGATTAAAGACGCACGTACGTGGTACATGCACGGACCGTCTGTCGGGTCCGCTAGTTTTATTCCTCCTTCTCCTTGCGTCGTTCAATTCATTACTGAGGGTCGTGACTCCCCTGCTGCATCAACCTCTCTTGTACGATCATCCTCCATCTGCTGCGATCCTTGGCCTCCTCGTGGAGCTTGTTTTTTTTTTTTATTGCTTAGATGGGTGGACGAGTTGACAATCCACCTGGTGTTAAGTGGTTACTGGAGCCTATTGACATCTACAACGTAAATGTGCCACCCACCTTGAGATATAAGTTCTAAGATCTCAGTATAGTTACAACGGCTGCCCCATCCTTCAAACCGAAACGCATTACTGCTTCACGGCAGAAATAGGTAGGGTGGTGGTACCTACCCGCGCGGACTCACAAGAGGTCCTACCACCAGTAATTACGCAAATTATATTAATTTTGCGGTTTTGATTTTTATTACACGATGTTATTCCTTCACCGTGGAAGTCAATCGTGAACATTTGTTGATATGAATGAATTGATATGATGTTGTATTTCATTAGAAAAATTGGTATGCTCGCCTGCGGGATTCGAACACCGGTGCATCGCTTCAACACGAATGCACCGGACGTCTTATCCTCTAGGCCACGACGACTTCAAAATGTCCATAGCTATTTTTATTATATGGTTTAAAAAAAACCACAGGCGAATGGTTAGCGGTCGGCATGGAGAACAGCAACGTGGAGGTTCTGCACGCGGTGAAGCCGGACAAGTACCAGTTGCACTTGCACGAGTCGTGCGTCCTGTCGCTCAGGTTCGCGTCCTGCGGGAAGTGGTTCGTCTCCACCGGGAAGGATAACCTACTTAACGCATGGCGCACTCCGTATGGCGCAAGCATATTCCAGGTACGCTTTTTTTTTTTTTCAAATCGACTCTTGGAAGGCAAACGTGACTAAGCGACAATAACTGCAGGTATTTCAACTTTAAATTCGTCTACTGTAAAGTTCACGCATTGTCGCTTAGTTATGTTTGCCTTTCAAGCGTCAATATCTAATCTGGTAGCCTTGAGAGGCTATGTCAGCATAACCTTAACAAGTAGGTGAGCTCACGGGGCTCAAACTTGACGACGTTGCTAACACTAGCCCTAGCAAGAACAGTGCTTTGCAGAATTTACCATCGAATCAGAAACGCGACCTTGAGAAGATTCGGCGAGAAACTCAATGGGCTGTATCCGTGGGCTAATTTAATTTTGAATTCACTTTAAAATTAATAGTAGGTTCTACATTATTTTAACGAGGTACTCGCTGAAAGTCCTCTGTCAGTCATATGTGACTGCGAGCTTAATTGTTCAAGACGTATAGGGAAATTTTTTGATGTTTAAAATAAATGGAAGAGTCTATAGATAAATAGGCAAAGACAAAAAGGTTGATTGCCATTATCTCGTTCTGTTTGTCAACCGATTTTCGTGTTTTTGTTAAAGAGTTGTTTACAAGCCTTAGTGCAATCAAAAAATACGTAAATAACACGCTAAAACATTAATTGAAAATATAACGATGATTATTATAGTTTGTACCGAATTCGGTATCGACGATCTGACTGATTCTTCTCATTTATTTTACTTCAGAACTACGAATCTAAATCTAGTATTAAGGCGTAGCTCATCTAGCTAACAATACATCTTTGTTCGCAGTCAAAAGAATCATCGTCGGTACTGAGCTGTGACATTTCATCGGACGACAAATACATTGTGACGGGTTCGGGCGATAAGAAGGCCACAGTTTACGAAGTGATCTACTAGTGAAACGGACAAACAGACGAACAATGTGACTGTGCTAGTGAAGGAGAGAACGTTCCGCGAACGTTGAGTAAAGTGATACATAGTTATAGTGTATGTATAGATTAAATCGGGAAGCCTGTATGTACTTATGCGACATGTTTATATAGATTAGTGTGCGCGATTTATGTTTATTTGTTGAGCGCCCGTAGTGTATGTTGGCAGCAGATCTCAAAATGATTTCGTTTCAATATTGTTGTAAAATGCTCGTATTAAAAAAAAAATATGCGCAAAACAGTACTATGTTTCTATTATTTCTGAATCCCCCAGATAATTCTGTGCCAGCTTCTTGGCCGTTATTATTTTTATTGCCCTTGTAGGCAGACGAGCATACGGCCCACCTGATGGTGAGTAGTTACCGTCGCCCATGGACTTCAGCAATGCCAGGAGCAGAGCCAAGCCGCTGCCTACCGAAAATTACCGTTATTACAATAAACGTTGAGATTTATTTGGTTTGGTTAATTCCATATTCTGTTTTATCCTGCAATATTATATTTCCCGCATCCAATACATAGGAGTTACTAATTTGAAGCCCTTGAAAGTGGAATGAAGCTATTCATTTTAAAATTTATGTTGCGGTTTGTCATTAAGATGTCTATTTTGTATTTTTATTAATAAACTATCATGTCCGAATGGCAAACAGTAAGAATATAGAGAGCGCGCAATCTGAAATGACTATATCGCCATCGCCATCCCACAGACAGCCCGACTGGACATAGACTATCAACAAAGTTCGCCACTTCGACTTTCCACGATCTTCAACATGTCACCGATCCTCAGCACCTTTAACACACCTTTGACAGCTGTGGTAGAACCTCTTGTGAGTATACACGTGTAGGTACCACCACCCTGCCTATTTCTGCCGTGAAGCTGTAATGCGTTTCGGTTTGAAGGGCGGGGCAGCCGCTGTAACTATACTTGATATCTTAGAACTCACATCTCAAGATGGCTCCGGTGACCACTTAACACCAGGTGGGCTGTGAGCTCGTCTATCCATCTATGCAATAAAAAATTAAAGTTAAAAATAAACATGCTTCTATCAGCTTGCTATATCGAGGGGTGAAAGACTATTTGGTTTAAGCGACATTTCGGTTAATACGCACATTCATCTTTGTAATTAAAGGTGCGTTTTATTTGATATTAGTATTATGATATTTTTCCAAATTTTAAACTTTAAATGGCTCTACTGTAAAGTTGCAAAAATGTCGCTTAAACCTTTTACTAGTGGTAGGACCTCTTGTGAATCCGTGCGGCTAGGTACCACCTCCCTGCCTATTTCTGCCGTGAAGCAGCAATGCGTTTCGGTTTGAAGGGTGGAGCAGCCGTTGTAACTATACTGAGACCTTAGAACTTATATCTCAAGGTGCGTGGCGCATTTACGTTGTAGATGTCTATGGGCTCCAGTAACCACTTAACACCAGGTGGGCTGTGAGCTAGTCCACTCATCAAAGCAATAAAAAAAAAAAAAAAAAAAATAGCCCAAATACCCGTCAATATATATGTTTGCTTATATGTGACGGAATCTCTGAACACCACTTTCACAGACTTCAGTACTTCCGATCTACTTAAAAATTTGCACACGCATCAACGGCCGATGACAACACAAGTAATTTTATAAATTCGCTTTAATATTCTGACCAGTGACGACGGGATAAAAAAAGATGGAGTCAATTATTCGATTTTCTGATTAAGCGGGCTTATTAGTTGTTATTTTTAAACTGTATACATGATTTTTATGTAAGGTATATATGTAAGGCCTTCATCAAATCATGTTCTGTGTGCTTAGTGCGAGTTTTTTAACTTTCTCGATAGCGTAAAAGTTAGCTCATATTTGTATAGAATGGGATCGTTTGCGTACGTTTGCCGTTTAATTAGGGGCGCTGTTCCAGCTGCACACAAAATTAGGTTAACTTTTACGTTATCGAGAACGTTAAGAAACTCGTACTAAGCACACTGGACCTAAAAATTCACGTACAAACGACTTCACAATGAATGAATAGGCTTGGGAATTATTATTTTTTATTGCTTAGATGGATGGACGAGCTCACAGTTACTGGAGCCCATAGACATCTACAACGTAAATGCGCCACCCACCTTGAGATATAAGTTCTAAAGTCTCAGTATAGTTACAACGGCTACCCCACCCTTCAAACCGAAACGCATTACTGCTTCACGGCAGAAATAGGCAGGGTGGTGGTACCTACCCGTGCAGACTCATAAGAGGTCCTACCACCAGTGATTATGCAAATTATAATTTTGCGGGTTTGATTTTTATTCCACGATGTTATTCCTTCACCGTGGAAGTCAGTCGTGAACATTTGTTAAGTACGTATTTCATTAGAAAAATTTGTACCCGCCTGCGGGATTCGAACACCGATGCATCGCAACAACGAATGCACCGGAAGTCTTATCCTATAGGCCACGATGACTTCAAAAAATCAGACTGTTCGAGTAAGTGCCCATCACTATCGCCTCATTTCTGCTGCGAAGCAAGCGTCACGGTTTGCAGATACATCTACCTCACGCTCTAAGACTCAGCAGCCTAAGAGCAGTATTCACGTTGGTTTGTACAAGGGTAAGCATTCAACTGCAGGTGAGATAACACGATATATTATTATGGGTAAGATATTTCTAATCAATATCTTACAAATGTATACGTGTATGTTTGCTTGTATTATGAACTGGGGCTCTCCCAACCATGACCACAGTCAAATTGGGCGTTTTGTGTGTTGCAATTATTTTTATTTTTTATTGACCTTGTAGGCAGACGAGCATATGACCCACCTGATGGTGAATGGTTACCGTCACCCATTATATAAAACACCCAAATAATTTCTATTATTTATGTAGACAAGCGGGACCTTAACAGCTTAACATTCTGTTCATCAAATGGTTGTTGGCAGGCAATCACCCATGAATGACGCCGTTAGGTAAAAAATCACCCGTTAAGCTGATTTAAAAATAGGATAATGTTGGTAAAGGTTAATAAGGTATTTTTTTCATCCATAAAGAATATAATAATACTATTAAGTATTGTATTTAATTAGAATGAAAATAATCAATATTTACAAAGTAATAATGCTTTTTAATACGCTTTTATTAGCTTCAGACGTATGTATGTTTGTAACGGAATCTTTGAACATGATTTTAACCCCCTTCAAAATGTCGGATTAACTCGAAATTTGGTATACTATTATTTACCGATGACAATTAATATTAAAAAAAATAATGGAAAAGAATAAATTGAAAAAATAGAACTTCAACTAAAAAATGAAAAATAAATAATAGTTTAAAAAAACTAACGACATACGCTTTTATGGAAAATTTAACTAAAAAATAGAAAATAAATTTTAATAAATTTGAAATAAAAATAGTGTAAGAAAAAATGATTTTATTGTAAAAAAGCGTGTATTGTCATATATCTCACTCGCTTTACAATAACATTTAGGTGTAGGTATTAAATTTATTAGCTATTGACGTATATGAACCATTCTATAGAATATATATTCTACAGAAATATAATAGAAACTTTGAACACTAAAAACCGACTCCGACAATATAAAATGAGAATACTAATGTAGTCAAAGAAACTTAAATATGCATTACAAAAAATTACTAAAAAACTGCTCTTCAGATCTGGATAACATTTTAGTGAAACCATAGGAGAAGCGTCAACTTTAAAAAAAATCAATTTCAAGTAGAAAAAAAAGTTTTGAAACACAAAAAAAACAGACGAATTCATGGCCTCCTCTGTTATTGGGGTCATTTAAAATGGGCTTGTACCACATAGAATATCGAATCGTAATAATATTGTGGAAGCACGTGCCAATAATACACGTTATTCCGGCGACATGTGTTTATAAGTACCGTGGCAAGTGCCACGAACGTTTTGTTATTGGTTGAAACAGATATTGTTTTCGTTTGTAACTTAGTAACAGTCGCTGAAGGCACGATTGACCTGAAAAACAAACATACACGCGAGACTGTAATGAGAACTTAGTGCGCTAATTTAAATTTTAAGATTTAATATAAATTCGATAAATCAGTACGGATAACGCTAGAATACTGGACTGAAGTAAATACTCCAATTTACTGAAAAGAATACAACTTATTTTTCGTATTTTAAATGTAAGATATTATGCCGAGCAGATTGTCGCAATATTAGAACATTAATTTGTCTCTTTTTTATTTTTTATTATTAGATGGGCTGACGAGCTGACAGCCTCATATTGTTGAGTTGTTATCGGAGCTCATAGACATCAACAACGTAGACGACGCCACCCTCTTTGAAACATGAGTTTAAAGTCTCAGTTTTACAGCACTGCACTGCCCCACCCTTCAAACCGAAACGCATTATTTCGTCACAACAAAAACGGTGGTGGTGGTGGTACCTACCCATCCGGGTAAAATGCCCTACAAACAGTAATTACGTAAATTATATTTTAATAATATGAAAGTGAATCATTGTGTTTCTACAATGCAGTGATTGTTGTGAGCAAGCGCTCATAGAGCAATCTTAGTGACAATACAATGATATGAAGCTAGCCGACACTCGCAAACATTTAATATTAGAACAAAATTATACCTACTAGCTCTTTGAAACTGAAATGAATCGTTACGATTCATCGATACATCGTACGATTCTTCAAAACAATGCATGTTAATATGGACATTAAAAAAAGTCGTGTTTGTAACCCAGCAATTACAGCACGGCACCGTTAGCATTTCTAGACAATTCAGCAATTAATACAAAAAAAACATGAAACTAAACAACCATTGATACCAAATCAGATTATCATTTTTTTCCATGATCGAAAACACGCCGCGTGTTTAATGATGTGTTTATCTACAAAGCCATTAACATGTTTTTGTATTGGATTCGCCTAAGCATTGTTTTTGGGTTTTTATCATCCTGTCGGATTGCCAGCAGGGATTTTAGATAATTCGGAACTATAACGTAGTAACGTATTAACATTTTTTTAATAAATTAAGAGCAGAATAATAGTCTACATTTTCGAATGGATCATTATTATCCATAATTGCACTTTTGCAAATTGTAAATTATAGGATTTATCTGGCCAATTATGGTAAACATGTCATGAAAACTACACATTAATCCTAATAAAAGTACACCTTATTATGCTCGAGTGCGAGTAGGTATATTAAAAAAAAAAGCAAACCAGCTAAATATAAAAAGAAGTTACTTGTAAATATCTAAAAGTACATTTATATATACGTAGATAAAGTACGAAGTATACCCTGACTATGCTTTTCAATAAGATTTAATAAACAGAATTTTTTGTGCACTAAGCGACATATGAAATAAATTAAGTTCCTATGAGAAGTACGTGTTGATAGTCAAAAACACCATAAAAGAAATCACGAAAACCTAAAAATTTTAAATTTTAAATTAAAATGTTAACATATGCTACTTTTAGAATCCTTCGCGGAACTGCTCAATCATGTACTGAATCAATACACTTTGAAAATCACATATCCTGTGTCCTGCTGGAGTACGTACGTCAATTAAGCGCTGTCTATTTCAAATAATAATAATAAGTAGTTATTGTAACTAACGAACAAACAGACGCTGGCGGTACCAGCCACCGATTTTTATCACAATAGCCTTTGACAAATTATATTAATATACAACTTGACGTATGGACTATGTGTATGGACTGACATAACTATGAATTGTTTTCAATTAAAAATATCAATTTAATCGCAAAGGGTGTACGGCATTGTCCTTATTACTGTCTACATTTAATTACTGTAATTTTGTTCATACAATAATTTAATTTACAAGCAAGTTCTCTTAGTTTGTGTATATATGAAATGCTGACATGTTACTGTTGTAAGATGATTAAAATCGTCACAATTTAAATGCTGGATTTTATCTTCACTTTGTAATAAGTTAAGACACCTAAAATTATTAAGACAGAAAGTAATTTCAATTCTTCATCGTCTTCTTGCCTCTATCCTACATTATCTGAGGCGCGAAGCATGTCCTCTTATCATGCTGTTTAGAGATTTGACAGGAGTTTTACGAGCGGCTGCCAGAAGTAGATTTAAAGATGCAAAACAAGATTTTTACAACAAAAAAAAACTAGCCTTATGACTGCCTTTAGGCCAATTGGAGCTATAAGCCAGAAAACATTGTTTCAACAATTATACTTGGTAATTATGTTAAAAGAATTTTGAAAAAAAAAACAAAAAAAAACCATACCAAATCTTTTCGGAAAAAATGACGTCGTAATGCAAGTGCTCTTTATGTTTGCAATTTTCATTCCTTTCGCAATACAAAAATCAAAGATAAAGAAGTATCATGATGAGTGTATGCGCACAGAGTACACATGGCACCAGATGTTGGCGGTGCCAGCCACCGCAGCCGATAACGGCGGCCGGCTAGACGCGCGCCACGCAAAACCCGCCGCGCAGTGACGCAGCNGAAAAAATGACGTCGTAATGCAAGTGCTCTTTATGTTTGCAATTTTCATTCCTTTCGCAATACAAAAATCAAAGATAAAGAAGTATCATGATGAGTGTATGCGCACAGAGTACACATGGCACCAGATGTTGGCGGTGCCAGCCACCGCAGCCGATAACGGCGGCCGGCTAGACGCGCGCCACGCAAAACCCGCCGCGCAGTGACGCAGCCAAAACAAAACGCAGAGCTCAAATGCGGCACCTGGTTTTCCAGATTTCATTCGTGGAAAACCCAAACCAATAGTTTGGTGATAGAACAAAAAATGGTGGTAAAACGGAAGATATATATAAGACCTTAGTAAGGCCTGCCGTCTTGTATGAATCAGTTTGTTGGACCGCTAAAATGGCGGATGAAAGGCGATTGCATGCAGCAGAGATGCGAATGTTGCTATGGATGTGTGGAGTAACGAGAATGCATAGAATACGGAATTAATATGTTAGAGGAAGTCTGGAAGTGACACCTGTGACAGAGAAGTTGAGAAGTGCACGTTTAGGATAGTATTGACATGTGATGAGACAAAATGAAAATGAGATTGGTAAGAGAGTGTTAACTATGAATGTGGAAGGATATAGACGAAGAGGTAGGACCTAAGAAGAAATGGATGGGTTGTGTGAAAGATGATATGTGTAAGAGGGGAGTGAGCGAAGAAATGGTATATGATACAGGAGTATGGAAGGAGAAAATATGTTGCACCGATCCCAGGTGACTGGGAGAAAAGCAGGAGAATGATGATGATACTAGTTTGGTGGTAGAATGTGGCAGCACCCCTCAACCTGGACTGATTGCAGCCAAGAATAAACATGCGTTCGTTTTGAAGTATTAGTACCAAGGTGCTATGTATCAGTGCATGAATACTTAAGTGACGCGATGGTATCGAACTTCAAAATTTATGAAAACCTGGACCAGAAAATAAAGGTAGAACAATAGCACATGAACGAAAGACCTCAACTGCAGAATGTAAGCATAATTATATATTTTTTAACTTTAATATTCAGCATGTAATTGTTTTGAACGCCTTTGTTACTGATTTACTCTAGTGCAGTAATAAATCTAACAAGTCTGATGCTCGTAGAACACAAGAATAACGTGTCTTCAACTTATCAAAGACAATAAAAATAATGTTATTGGACACATAATTGAATTATAAGAATGTAGGTACTTAAAATAGTAGTCTGTTAAGCTTCAATACCTTGTACCCTTTAATTTTTGTATTAATAATAAATAAATGATTAATTTAAATCAGTTTTCACAGTGTGATTCAATTTATTCAAAAACTTTTTAGTAGATTTTAGTTAATGTTATTACCTACTCTTTCTCTTTTTCTGAATTGAAAACCTTTGACATAGACATGATGGCGAAAAGTAAGTTAATAAGTTCTATAAATTCACGTCTAAGTTTTCCTTCATTATAATAATTTGTTGTAAAAGGTTAAACTAACTGAATAGTAGTTCTATTTTTGTCCCTGAGTAGTGTCTGCAATGAAAATAAATCAAAACATTTTAACAATAAATGAATAAAATGAAATGATAAGGTTTTTTTTTCCCGCCGATTAAATTCCGTTCAATAAAACATCAAAAGATTACAAAGACATCCGTTAATGAATGAAATTTAATGTTCCGGTAACAAAATAATGAATCATTCTCAAGCATGTAATAAATAGCAATGCCTTCAATCTTACTCGTGGCTGAAGCATTTTCAAAATATTATACCATACAATATACAATACAACTAAAACTTTTACCACATGTATCACATCCACTTTGTAGTGCGGCATCCAGTAAACTTTTTCCTTTTTTATTCCTACCTATTTGCTGGTAGCCTAAGGGATTTTTCCAGACAATCTACTAATCATTCAACACCGGGCAAGTCCACAGCTTAAGAAAAAATAAATTATTTTTTTAATGCTCGTAAGATTTTCTATAATTAATTACATCGTACAGAATTTCAATAATAACAACTATTTTAAAAAATATGCTTCGTGAAAGAGACATCCGATATTACGTCGCGTCGGTAAAAATACGCACACGCATTTATGTTGTGTTGCTCATCGTCACTTCGTAGAGTTTTATCATTATTATCAAAGGAAGTAACATAAGTTTTGCAAAAACAACACAGATCCGGTAATAGAACTCAACTTTGACTCGACGTACCTACGAGTATAGCAATGTCTGTGTCTAATCTCCGATAACTACTGAACTCCAGATGATCGTTAGAGCAATAATCAAATAGAAACAATTTGTCAAATCATCAATGAAATTAATCACAATATTTATTCATTTATTTAACTAGTGCTCGCCAAACGAAATTCGACCATAATTACTGTTTATTCAAGATTTAGATCCATTTAATATGTTCTCTACTTTCTCTTGATTTTTTTCTTTAAAGATGAAAACTAAATATTTTTTTATCGAGAACATTAAGACTCGTCAATTAACTACCCACAAAAACAAAACAACTCTGGTTCTTCTAGATTATTGTATTAGAATTTCACTATACAACTATTTTTGTGAAACCATTCAGTCCTACATTTTTTCTCCAGTTACAGAATACATTCTCACTTACAAAGTCGCATTAATAACCCTAGGTAAAAGAACTGTAGTTCGGGGCAAACAACCGATAACAAAATGAAACGAATGATCCCCGTCTCAATAACACTGAATAAACTGCATTGTTAATTGATATTTTCTACGTTTTTATCAGCTTTACTGCAAACCGTTAACAAAACAAACTCGGTTACTTGGTTGCAGTGTTTAAAATTACATTGTAACCGGCCGCGCTGTTGACAGAAACTCACAAAATTTTGTCAAATAGCATTATGGTGCATGCAGTGTCAAAACCTTTGATTGTCTCATTAAGGCGAGCGGTGAACATGTGCGTGCGCAGATCCGTCGATAATCGTCGATCGTTGTTATCGCGCGTCCGTCGCGGTGTCCGGCGGCCGGCTCTCCATCGTGATCACATTCATTCCAACCCCGGGACGCGACACAAGCGCCTGTTAAATTAAACGCTCAGCCTAAATCGTTATCCACGCTATTATCAACAAACAAAACTGGCCACTGCATAATACCGCACCACCGTGTTTTGTTAGTAATGTTTACGCGATTGTATTCGATTTTTGAAAGTTAAATATTGTCGTAAATTTAACAAACTTTTGTTCATTTCAGATAGACGATGTTTTGTGATAGCAGCGGTCCGCATTTCGAGGAAGCCCTCCTCAATGACCAACTTCTGTTCGAGTACTCGCCGGCCGAAAGTCTAATAAACTTCGAACTCCCGTCCTTCGACTCGGACACCAGCGACTGGCAGCTCAGTGATTTGGATTTCAATTGTGACGGTTTCGTAATCGGCGCCGACGATCCAAACAAGGAAGAGAACAATCTTGTCGACGACTTGCCAGTTTTTGATTTTGAAGATTTAGACAAGAGCATTATCGACGAATATTTATTGGAAGCGTTAAGCAGCGATCTTTCTAACGACGCTCAGCTTTCAAATACGGAATCAATACCGAATATTAGCTCAGTATATGCACTAGAAACTCATGATTATACCTCAATAGAAAGCGAATGGCCGAGACCACGAGAAAAAGCAACTCCAGAAGTCAAAGTTCGGTTCGGCGAACCCAAATATTGTCCGGAAGTCGGCGCTTTTCGATGTCCCGTTGAAGAATGCAGCAAACTTTACGCAAAAGCGTCACATGTTCGAGCTCATTTACGGAGACACAGCGGTGAAAAGCCTTACCGCTGCACGTGGGGTGACTGTTCGTGGCGATTCGCGCGCTCAGATGAACTAGCTCGACATCGTCGCAGTCACTCAGGGGACAAACCTTACAGATGTGTTGAATGCGAAAAGAGATTTGCTAGATCTGACCACCTCGCCAAGCATGGTCGTGTGCACGCACGTCGCGCCGCCGCTGCAGCCGCCGCTGCTGCAAGACGCGCTGGGACCACACCACACACTCACCGTAGGAGTTCAAGGAGTATTCTACTTTTGTGAGCTATGTGATATATACAATGACATTGTGAATTATGAGTACTGTATATAAGTACAATTCAAAAACTGTGCCAGTGATGTGTTTTTTTTTGCTCTTTTGATTATGGTCGTAACTGGATGTGGATTTGCTAGGTGATAAAAAATAATCATGTGTCATATTAGAAAATTTGTGAACTATTGCTTTGATAGTTTTTATGTCTTATTTAGTTGTAAGACCGACTAATTCCAAGTTGGTTTTGAAATTTGTCGTCGATAAGAAAAAAAATTTAGTAATTGACAATAACAAACCTCAAAATATGAGATAATTTGTCCTTAATTTCCACTTCACTTCTTCGCAAAACCTAAATTGAAAAGTAGCCTTTCTTCGGAACGAACGAAAGTGGTCTCGAAATCAATCTTGTTATTAATCATAGATAATAAATACATTTAATATTTATTAATGTTTGTTATTAGTTCATCACATTCACGTTCTGTAAGTTACAAGTTCATAGTAATTAATTTTATCAAAAGAAATAACTATTATACTTTTTTAAATCCTATTCCATAAATTTACAGCCGTTGTTACTATATGGGTGGCACATTTACGTTGTAGATGTCTATGGGCTCCAGTAACCACTTAACACCAGGTGGGCTGTGAGCTCGTCCAACCAAGCAATAAAAAAAAAATTATCTATCTATTTATGATTTCAACGAAAGTCGAACTACTTTTAGTCATTAAATCGCGTTTTTGCCGGATAGCCGTTAAATCACCATGGTTCCTAACGAATGTGGATCTCTATGATGACCTGGAGCTCGACTCAGTCAGTGATTATTTACAGTCGGCATAATTGCGACTCTTTGGAAGGCGGCACGACATGAAACCTCTTGTCGCGGTCACCGATAATTACATACCCGATCCTGTAGACCGAATGGTAAACAGTCGACGTCGCCCTAAGCACGTCATTACGGATCCTCCCGAGCCATTAACGTTGCTTTTAGGTACCTCAAGGACCGGCCACGGTCCACGCCGAACCCGCCGCTTGCGACGAAGGGCTCGTCGAGTAAATTAACTCATAGACACAGCACAGCCAACTGAGTTTCTCACAGGATATTCTCAGTGGGTCATGTTTCCGATCCGGTGGTAGATTGGTGGTAGAACACTCCCGGCTTGAGCCCCGTGAGCTTTCAAGGCTCAAGCAAGCTTAGGAAGAAAAAAAAAGCGAAAGTCATTCAGCAAAGGGTTTTTCTGTGGACAATTTTAATTCCTCTTTTTGAGCTCTTTCAATATCCCCAGAAGATGTCGTACCAACAGAAACTGAATACTCCTTCAATGGTCCGACTATCCAAAAATATAGGAATCCAGTTGCAGAGTCCGTCGTGGTTTCCATAGAATAGAAGTGATCCATCACACGTACCTAATAAATTAAGTTACACAAGAAACTTCGAAAGCATACCGCGATGCTTCGAATAGAAAAAAGTGCTTTCCCGTCCTTCGCAGTGCATCACGCAGATAAATATTATTTAAAAAGTGTATTATCTATGCAAATAACCCTTCTTTTCAAATATCACAAAACGTCAATATACCTACTAAATTCTTGATCGAGGTAGTTCTTCAATATTATATTTAAATAAATTGCACATATGAAGTTTGGTTTTTGTTACTTTTATAAAATTTGAAATCAAACGTGATTAAATGTAGTTTAATCTTTCTGCTTCATTCATGCATGCATGCATGCCCGTCTCATTTTCTCACATTTAAGGGATGAGATCGTCAATAATGCCGCGGCACAGTTGTCATTGTGAAAGAAGAATTAAGCTGCTAGGTATTGCTTTAATCCTAAACAATATTTAGACTTTCGTACAAATAGTAAAAATAGAAATCAATATACACAATTTTCTTCTTAGATGAGGATATTGCAATGTCACCAATTTTACAACTACCCCAAAGTTATAATAATAATTAGTTCACTACTTAGGTATTACATAAGTTTAATACTTATTTCCAGGGTAATACTTTTTAAATCAATTCTACAACTTTAACCTTTGACTGTAGTAAAATCTTAAAATCAATAGACTTATTATGCGCAGATAATGCATCCAATGTAATGTTAATTAGTTTCAGCAGGTTTATTTCAGTAACCAAAATCGGTTGATAATCGGATCAAATGATCAAACTCAAAACTGCATCTAAGAAACTTTTTTATAAACAAACATTTTATAATTGGGAATTTTTTTAACCCAACAAATAATCTTTTATTAATTTATTTCGTTAGAACAAGTCTTTTTGAAAAATTTTTATGCTTCTGTTAATGGACCGTTGATCCAATGAAAAACATCTAAACCATAGATAGTCTCAGGAATAAAACTTTGTACATAAGTCTATGGTACTATGTACCCAAATGAAAAATGCCGCAAGATCTCTCATAATCCTTAAGGTTCTAGGCTAGTATCTAGTACTTTTTTTTAGTTGGTTAGTAATTGATACACGATTCAAGTCGGACAAAAATAAAAATGGAGGTTCAATAGATTTCAATCCATTTCTTCATTAATTTAACAGTGAAAATAATTACAAATATTAAATAGAGAAAAGACATTACAGACAACTTTGTGTTAATATTGTTGATATTAAACCATAATTGATGCGGATACGTGGTGTGCCCGAAAGTGTTGTGTTTGACAAATAACAGGTTGTCGGAGACCGATTTAGCTAAAATTTTCAACTGAATATATTGTTTTTACCCGTAAATAGTTTGTAAAGTGTTGTGGTTTTCAATTGCTATACCGAGCAACAAAACATAATAGTGTTCAGTACAACAGAACTTAGAAATTACGAAGCTGAGATAGGAAGAAGCTCGGTCTCCCATTCAAGTCGATCAGCATGTGACCCACATCTGAGATTTCTCTTCTTTGTTCATCATCTCCTAGTCTGATAAGAAGAGTAGGATGCGTGCACGCTAATAACTAATCACATGATAGTATCAACAACAACCACTGTTGCCAAAAGTATGTTAATTAACGAACTTGTCACGGTTGACTACCTGCGCAGCTTTGTGGGGGTCAGGTGATAAGAGCCACAGCATCAGCATCTTAAAATACTCAAATATTACAGAAGATACTGTGGGAAATGGTTCACATTACAGTTGGATAATGCATGCAAAGATGTCAGGGAAAAGCAAAGTACATGTTGGTGGTACATAATGTCAAAATATTATGAACAGTAAACAATGCAGAAAGGAGTAAAACAATGATGCAAAATGGCTCATTCTGAAAACCAAAGGCACATTGTTCAGGTTTGTGTTTAATTTTTATTCTGTTAAGACTATAAATGAAAAACTTGTAGACTTTTTAAGCTTAGACCGGGAATGTATACTTGCTACTTGGACTTTCTTCGCCTTAAATTTTACAAACAAATATCCTTCTGAAGGTAAGGTTCTAATTAACTTGTAATTTGTTTTTATTACTTATACCTACCAGTCTAACTTGAAACTAGTTGTAATTACCACCTCCATAAGAAGTAAGGCTCTTCTCAAATAGTTTATAAGAGTATTTTATGTTCTTGGCTGCAAAAGTTAAACCAGAAGATAGCTTTGATTGTAACTAATACAATAAAAGTTATTACCAATTATTAGTAATAAACGTGCACATGTAATAGTGTAACGTAGACATATTATCATGCAATCCAGGCTGGCCACACACTCCAGTTTCCTGTTTTCTAATTACAGTCATAAATGTACTTAAAATACAATTTGTGCAATAGTGCTCAATGACTGTAGTCTTTTAAAAATTTACATTGCAATGACAGAGGCAATATGCACACGCTTAAACTCTTTCTGCATGTTACAAATAGTTATTATTGAACATAGAGTTTTTTTGCATAGATCGGTTGACAAACTCACTGCTCCCTAGCTTATAAATGTTTACCTAATGTTACGAACATAACAGTTTTTATTTTATTTTTTTATTGCCTTTGTAGGCAGACGAGCATACGGCCCACCTGATGGTGAGTGGTTACCGTCGCCCATGGACTTCAGCAATGCCAAGGGCAGAGCCTTGCTGCTGCCTACCGCTTAATACTCTCCACAAGCCTCGTTTGAAAAAGGACATGTCATAGCGCTCGGGAAAGACCGTGGAGGGGAGCTCTTTCCATAGACGGATGGTACGTGGCAAAAAAGATCGCTGGAAACGCACTGTGGTTGACTGCAGTGGCTCTAGGTAGTATGGATGAACTCTACTCCGGTGGCGGGCGGTGCGATGGTAAAAACGAGACGTTGGTATCATCTCGAACAATTCCTCAGAGCACTCCCCATGGAACATGCGGTACAAAATACAGAGGGAACCGTAGTCCCTCCGCAGACCCAGAGGCTCCAAACGATCCGTGAGAATGGGATTATCGACAATCCGAACAACTCTCTTCTGTATGGAGTCAAATGGAAGAAGATGGTATTTGGGAGCCCCAGCCCAGAGATGGGAGCAGTACTCCACGCGAGGCCGGACTTGTGCTTTATAGAGCAAAAGTCTTTGTCCAGGCGTGAAGTACGTCTTGGCTCTGTTGAGGACTCCCAGCATTTTGGACGCCAACTTGGCTTTGCCTTCCAAATGACTCCGAAATTGGACATCGTTCGAAATGTCCACCCCAAGTATCCCGATACTCTCGGAAGGTTGCAGGGATACTCCTTGGAATTGCGGCGCCATGACAAAGGGGTCCTTCTTCGCAGTGAACGCGCAAACTTGTGTCTTTATCGGGTTGAATTGAACCAAGTTCAATTCACCCCATTCGGAGACTCGCCCCAGAGAGTTCTCCACTTCAGACACAAGTTTTGATCGTCTCTCTTNGATACTCTCGGAAGGTTGCAGGGATACTCCTTGGAATTGCGGCGCCATGACAAAGGGGTCCTTCTTCGCAGTGAACGCGCAAACTTGTGTCTTTATCGGGTTGAATTGAACCAAGTTCAATTCACCCCATTCGGAGACTCGCCCCAGAGAGTTCTCCACTTCAGACACAAGTTTTGATCGTCTCTCTTGCACCATGCTCCGAGAGCGACTCTGATGGCCGATATATCGCGCATCTCCCGTGCTGTCATCCGCATAGCAATGCATGCCATCAATAGACAGCATGTCATTGATATACAGGATGAAAAGCGTGGGGAGGGCATCGAACCTTGTGGAACGCCAGCGTTAATGGTCATGGTATCAGAGCAGTCACCGTCTACAACGACCGTGATGCTCCGCCCATCCAAGAAGTTAGCGATCCACTTGCACCCTCGGGGATTCCGTAAGATGGTAACTTCGATAGAAGTGCCCTATGCCAATGTTAACATTCTCCTCAACAACACTTAAGTTTTAATTGTATAAGCAATACAGCTATCCTCATTACCAATGTTTGCAGCTAAAACAAGCGATGTATTCATATAAAGAGGCCTGACTATGCTTACTTTCAATTCTTGCAAGGTCTGAATATTCTAAGGAAATATTACACTGAGTTCCAGGATGAAGGAATCAAAGGGGGTCATAATATGTATAATCAAAGTAAAACCTGAGGAACCAATTGTTTTGTAAAATTATTGGTGATGTTTTAATTGGGAGCATTTACTGGCACATATTTTACCTACTTAACTAACAACCAAGTTCTGCTGTAAAAAAGTCATATTTAATAGCTTGAAAAGTCAGACAACTGATTTACAATACAATTGAAACTTCAACTTCGTATCTCAAGTTGGGGTCAGCATTTAATTTGTAATCTATGTTGACTTCAGTGACCAATTCATACCAGGAAGTTGAACTAAAACAATAAACTAGAGCATAGATTAGGATTCTCTAGCACATTCAAATTGGATTATGTGAGAAGAATAATAATTGAATGAAGAACTAAATAATTTTTTCTCTTATTTCTCCAATCATTTACTTGAAATAATATTTGGTCTGATATACAGGTCTATGTGGGTGCATTGTCTCCACAATATGAAGCCCTATCAGTGGAAGCTTCGAAACAAACAAGCTCAGAGGAAATCGTAACCTGCATCACTGAAAAACTAAACCTCAATGATGGATCTGGAGGGCCATATGAATTGGCTGAGGTCTGTAACGTATTTTAGTTGAAGTAGGTAACCCTAGTTATGTTTCATTTTATTTTTCCCTACTCCATACACACATATGTGTTATATAAAAAAAGCAGATGAGTATATATGATAAAATTTATATATATCTATTGCATTATTTCTTATTCTTCAAACTGCAAAAAACGAGGCTACTGCACAGCACAGATACAGTTAAGATGAGTGCACCTATTGTACAGGCTTAGAATATGACCTACCATTGAATTGTGCTTATTATTACCTAATAGGTGGTTGGAGATACCGTCAGCGGCGAATGCAAGGAAAGGCGGCTCGGACCTAATGAATCTCCTGTTGCGGTTATGCTTCTATGGCCAAAGAATAAATCCACTGGCCAATACAACAGGTAGGAAATTCTTTAATGTTAAGAAGCCGAAATATGATTAGTAGAACGGCACATGTAACATTCATAAAAGTCATCCAGATATTACGTATAAAAGTCGTCTTTTAGTGAAAACTTCTTCACATCTTTCTGATTTGTAAATCAATAAAATGAAAAAACGACGTTGAAACGACAAAACTAATACATCACATACTAACTTTCAACACGTGTATATTCATTTATATTGAATAAAATTTTTAGATTCGGTTTGATGTATACTGTAGACATGTCGTTTCTATATTATGTACCTATAAAAATAATGATTCAAAAATCGTTTTGTGATCAACATGTGAAAATTTCATTAGTTGTTTTTGTGAACTTCATTATAATACCCCGTTTATTGTAGTACAGTACCATAATAACTTTAAATATTGTTAATTAGATAACTAACCATGTAAATATAGTAAACATTATACACTCAGTCAGTTGTCGTTACATGATACTTTAGCATATCTTAGTATAAGCATTAAAGTACCTAAAAATCATAATTATAAAGGTAAGTCCTGTTTCTCAAGACTCATTGTGAACAAATTCTTTTAAACGAAAATAGTACCTAAGTAACTTTATCTTATCTTTTTTTTTATGGCTTAGGAGGGTGGACGAGCTCACAGCACCTGGTGTTAAGTGGTTACTGGAGCCCATAGACATCTACAACGTAAATGCGACACTCACCTTGAGATACAAGCTCTAAAGTCTCAAGTATAGTTACAACGGCTGCCCCACCCTTCAAACCGAAACGCATTACTGCTTCACGGCAAAAATAGGCAGGGTGGTGGTACCTACCCGTGCGGACTCACAAGAGGTCCTACCACCAGTAAATCTATTTTCATTTAATTGTTAATAATATCTTCTACATTTTAAGCTGTAATATTATTACATGTAATTTAATCAGACAAATCAGACGGCCAGTAGGTATAGTTTTTCTGTTACAAATAGGTTTACGTAAATATTTACGTTACAAAGTGTAATGCGTCTTCAAAGCCGCAGACTGAAATGCGATTACGTGATTAACGGCCACCCATCAAGGACTGAACGCGGTTACCATCACCTCTTATTGATTAATACGACACATCAGAACCGAAGCGCAACAAGTCTGAACCAAGTACTTTTTCTAAACGGTTTTAAAGTAAAGTACTTTAAGGTATACACATACACATAGCTAGCGAATATAATAATATATCGAGGCGACATTTTTCCAACTTTACCGGAGAGCCATTCAAAATTTAAAATTTGGAAAAAGTATAAAAAAATTTTTTTTAGCTATGTAAATGGAGTAAACTTAATTGAAGTCCAATTAAAAACATCGATCTGGTGATGCTAATACCAAATAAAACGCACATTTAATTATAAAGATAAATGTTGCGTTTTAAGCGAATTGTGGCTTAACCAAATAGACTTTTACCCCTCCATATGTATTTTATACTACATTCCATAGCAATTAAAACAATCAGACAAATTCGTATCGCAGATAAGGCTCTCGTTGAAGGAATTTGAACCATTTTTTTATCCTTTTGTCATTACGGAACCTCCTGATCCATTAACGGTGCTTTTAAACACCACAAGCACCGGTCACCGTCCTGGTCAAACCCGTCGCTTGCGTCGAAGGGCTCGACCAACGAATTAACCCATAGATACAGCCCACTGAGTTTCTCGCCAGATCTTCTCAGTGGGTCGCGTTTCCGATCCGGTGGTAGATTCTGCGACGCACTGCTCATGCTAGGGTTAGTGTTAGCAACACTCCGGTTTGAGTCCCGCGAGCTCACCTACACACGTTAGAGTGAAACTGAAATAGCCTCTCAAGGCTATTAGCATAGCTAGGAAAAAAAATCCTTTTTTATCTGAACGTAAAAAGCGTTTAAACAAAACTTTCGATCTCTGAAAAAATACTTAACATGTTATGTTCGATCCCATATTTATTCAAAGTTTTCTTTAGCTTCTATAAGCCTTTTTTTAGGAAGTCACCGACTGATGGTTGAAATCTTTGAAACCGGAGCGTATGACTGCTTCACGATAGGAATACAAAGTGCGTGTTTTTATAAAGTAAAAAAGTAAAATTATTTGAACCATCTATTCTGCTGGCCATTTTTGCCTATTTGAATATGGAAACCTACAATACGTAATTTTGAGTTGATAATTTAAAACTGCACAAATTTGTCGCTTTAGAAATTTTGATAACGTCATATTATGATCCATATAAAATTATTATGACTATTTTGTTATAAAGATTCATTGAAGATCATTGTTAGGAAGCGATGTTGCGCAATTCTTGAACTATTGTATTCCACACAAGTGTGCTCCTGGAAAATCAATAAAATGCTTCAAAATTAAAATACCATTTTAATAAACCATAGCTTAAAACAGAAGAACACGTTCCAACTGTTTTATTTTTTATTTTTTTATTGCTTCGATGGGTGGACGAGCTCACAGCCCACCTGGTATTAAGTGGTTACTGAAGCCCATAGACATCCACAACGTAAATGCGCCACCCACCTTGAGATATAAGTTCGAAGATCTCAAGTATAGTTACAACGGCTGCCCCACCCTTAAAACCGAAACGCATTACTGCTTCACGGCAGAAATAAGCAGGGTGGTGGTATCTACCCGCGCGGACTCTCAAGATGCCCTACCACCAGTAAGAAGTATGGAAACCTACAATACGTAATTTTGAGTTGACAATTTAAAACTGCACAGATTTATCGCTTTAAACATTTTGATATAGCCAACGTCATATTTTGTTATGAAGATTCATTCAAGATCATTGTTAGGAAGCAATGTTACGCAATTCTTGAGCTATTGTATTCCACACAAGTGTGCTCCCGGGAATTCATAGGCGCTTTAAGATTAAAATACCATTTTGATAAACCATAGTTTATAACAGAAGAACACGTTCCAATTGGTTCTTTCGTTGTATACATTAGATGGACAAACGCACAGACAAAAATTGCAACCGTTTTGTTCTACGTATAAAATGAGTCGAATGTTTTCTTAGTACGTTTAAAATGGTAGTTAACACTTTTTCAATAGTGCTAAATCAGGCTGTGTCGTGTAATTATCTCGTTCCGGTAATTACGTAGCAGTGATACGTCTAACCTTGCTTCGATACACCTGCATCTCGATCGACCGCACACTTATTTACCTCCCGCAGCGTCCGCTCATTCTTATACGTGTCTTGTCACTACAATACTATTCGCAAACTATTTGTACAATGCTCTTTTGCATTGCGATGACTCATTTATTGTTTTGCATCCATTCGAATATGGTAGTTTTACATACTTGTATCCTTGTAACTGTTAATAGTTAATTACGTAGCTTTGTTCCGATCGTTAATCATTTTATTCAACATATAACATATTATGTTCTATTTTCTTGTCGCAAACCGTTCACGCGCTATCGAGTATCGTATTAATCAAGTATACTGTAACAAAATTAGCGTGTTGTTTACTGTTAGTTGCTAAATGAAGGGCCACAAACAGTGATTGGGAGTAAAGCCCCACTCGTTTAATGACTCACTCTTCCTGCCGCAGCCGCGTGATAACACCGTCTCCATCCTGCCAATCAAACTGAAACATTGCTGTGAGATCAAAAATGGACGCCAAAAATATACCGCCACTCGCAAATATTTAAATTTCGTCATCATTTTAAAAATATGACTCAAAAGTAAATTATTTTTAGACTATTAATAGACTTCAATGATAAGCTCGCGTTGAAAGTTCGCATTTTATTTTCAGATTCTATCTCCGCGAAAAAATACAAGACGAGCCATGGATGGAGAATTTTTCGGTGGATCCGCAGCTGATAAAGGACTACTTCCAGAGGTTCCTGTACCAGCCGAAGGACAGAGAGTACCCCGACCTGTGCCAGCTGCCTGAGCTCAACGAGCAGACCCTGCTCGATAATTTGAGAGCCAGATTCGCGGCCGGGTACATCTACACATATGTCGGCTCGATATTAATAGCACTCAACCCGTTCAAGTTTTATCCAATATACAATCCGAAATATGTGAAATTGTATCAAAACAAACGGATCGGGTCGAGTCTGCCGCCCCACATATTTGCCGTAGCCGACGCAGCGTATCACTGTATGCTCCGCGAAAGGACTAATCAATGTATAGTGATCAGTGGTGAAAGTGGTTCGGGTAAAACAGAAAGCACCAACTTCCTTCTGCATCATCTAACTGCGCTGAGTCAGAAGGGTTCGCACGGCAGTGGTGTCGAGCAGACAATTTTAAGTGCAGGACCTGTGCTAGAAGCCTTCGGTAACGCGAAGACCGCCCATAACAACAACTCGAGTCGATTCGGTAAATTTATTCAGGTGAATTACAAGGAAAATGGCATGGTTCACGGTGCTGTGGTGCAGAAATACTTACTGGAAAAGTCGAGAATATGCAGCCAGGGTCGCAACGAGAGGAATTATCACGTATTTTATTACTTATTGGCGGGTGCTTCGGAACAGGAGAGAGAACAGTTACATTTACTCAGTGTGGACAAGTACAACTATTTATCAAAGACCGGTTGTAGTGATGTGCCTGGTACGGATGAACAGTATGAGTTCTCACGTCTGAAACAATCCATGGAGATGGTGGGCTTCACCATGGACAAACAGCGGAGGTTATTTGCTGTTCTCTCAGCAGTTCTGTTATTAGGTGAGTCTTATCTAAAAATAGTTTGAAGTGGTTCAAAATTATGAGGCGTTCTTAAAAACTGAATAGAGCACTAATTCTCTTATCGTCTGATAAAGATAGTGGCTAATTATTGATAAAAAAAAATATGACGTGGTAATTGTATTAAATATGTTTTTTGTGGAATATAGATTAATGTGTTAAGCGCTAGGCAGCGCCTGGCTCTAAACTTGACGTCCATGAGCGACAGTAACCACTTACCATCAGATGGTCCGTGTGCTCGTCTGTGTTCGGCCAAAAAACAAAATAAAAAAATATACTGTTATAAAACGAACATGCTATTTAACACGTTTATGGCTATAGTTTTTTAATATGTTTTATGTATTATATTCTCATCGCAATTCTAAAGAACATAAAATCAATTAATTAATACGAGCTAATGTATATGTCGTTCCTTCATCTAACCTTAAAAGAAAGCTCCAAAACAAACATAACTGTAACTTGAAACGTTTTAACTATTTGAAATTTTTCTAACTTTGAAACTTTTTGATTTGAAAATTTTATCAATGAATGAAACAGTCCTATATTTTTGTCTCCTAAAAAAGTTCCACATAAAAATATGGTTATAAATTTTATCTTAAGTGTGTACACAATGGTTATTTATAACGTTTAAATCATAGAGTTGGCTTCGAATGTTATTAATGAGCAGATAAGAAGAGACGTAAGATAGGAAGGACGTAAATTTTCAATGCCAGAGTACAATCAATACACCTCGTTTTTAACCAAAAATGTTTTGTTATTTAATATTCTAGTTTATCTAATTTCTGTTTTTTTTTATTTCCTATTGCTACATGTGTAAAATAGCATACAGCCCAACTAGTGTTAAAAGATTGTGGGGAGCGAGAAACCATAACCTACTTTGAGACATATGATTATAAGTAGCTTCTATAGCTTCTATGGCTTCTAGTCTAACCCTTGACGTGGCTAACTTATGGACCAAACATGGACCAAATGCACATCTGTTTCCAAAAGCAATAAATAAATTTAAATGTTTCACTAGTATTATTATAACAGCCACTATTCTACTGTTTACTGTAACACAAATGACTGCATTCCGGTAAAAATGACCATCCAACCATTGAGGTACACTATACAACCTTTTGAAATAAACATTTTTTATTATGTCTGTGTAGTTTATATCAAACACCATCATATAGATTTCATTTCAATATAACAACTACATGTATCTCAACCACAGGTAATGTAGAGTTTCAACCCCAACGAAAATCATATCATCACGATGAAGCTGTAGGTGTGAAAAACCCAGAAGTTGTATCCCTCATATCATCATTACTGCGAGTCAAACAGGAAACCTTATTAGCAGCCCTCACATCAAAACGTGCCAGAGCTTCCGGAGAGACCCTTGTTATCAACTACAGGTAAATTATATTTTGTAATGAGTTAGTATGAGTAATTTTTTAAATAGAAAATTAGAAACTAATTTTAAACTATTGATTTGAATTAAATAAATAAATAATAAACTTTATATCTTTTGTTATACTGTTGATAGAAATACTTATTCTGAGACACATCTCCTTAGTTATGTTGGTGAGAAAATACTTAAAAAATTCTTTAAAAAGAAGATGATGTAAGACTTTTAGCGGTGAAGAATAATATGTGAACTATCTAGTGTCTGTGCAGATGAATATGTATGGTGGTCATTTATTATTCAGCACAATACATATTATATTGGTATTTGTGAAAATAGACATGGCTTCTTAGTTTTTCTGCAGAATGCATATACATACAATGTTTTTTAAATTCCAACCGTTTTACAGAGTGGATTGCTTAAAATTATTAGAAGTAACTACAAAGGGCTATGGGTTAAGCTACTGGCCGTACGTAGATCTTAAATAATATGTTTGATAAAAGATTAATTGCGCAGGTTACCGGAAGCGATAGCAACGCGCGATGCTATGGCAAAATGTCTGTACGGAGCTCTGTTTGATTGGATCGTTATGCAAGTTAACCACGCGTTGCTGTCTAAGAAGGACACGCTCAGAGAACATCAAGGGAACAGTATAGGTATGTGTTATTCAGTTCAATTTGTATTAGAGATAAATTAATTATTAACATCTAATAAGATTAAGAGCATGCAACATTTTAAATTTTATCAGCATAGAACTGTACATGTAATATTTTATGTTCAAAAATGAATAAATATTATTATTATATATGTCACATAATTGAGAAATATAATGTAGATTTATTATATAATAAAAGTTTATTATTACATTACAATAAATTTAAAACACATTTATCTTTGAGTTGGCAAAAATTATTATATTTTTATATCCTAACAAAAGTGTGAAACATATAATATATTTTTTCCACACTGGACCTTCCATGTGATTTGTCACACAACATCAAATAGGTACCTACTGTTAAAAATATCTGTAAAAATAACAACCAAAATAAGTTTGCAATATATATTTAAATGGTGTAAAAAATGAAGAAAGTGTGTATAATGCCAATAAACATGTGGCTATCCCTCTTACGCACGATCACCTGAATTAAACATCACGAGTATTTTTTTTCAACCACCGCTACTACATTTATCCATAGAATAAATTAACACTTCTATATTTAACTTCTCAGGCGTCCTCGACATATTCGGGTTCGAAGATTTCGGTCCCAGCAACAGCTTCGAGCAACTGTGTATCAACTACGCGAACGAGCACCTCCAATACTATTTCAACCAGCACGTGTTCAAGTACGAGCAGGAGGAGTACCGGAGGGAGGGCATCCGGTGGACAGACATCGGGTTCTCTGACAACACAGGATGCTTGCAGCTCATCGAGGGGAAACTCAACGGGTTGCTGTCTATTTTGGATGATCAGTGCAAGTGTGTATTTTTTATTGATACATTCATAAACTTACTTTAGTGAAGATTTACCTAGAAGAAGAATACCTTAACGTTGATCTCCCTGTCCAATTTGAAACTTAGTCTTTTTTTTAATTGCTTATTGCTTAGATGGGTGGACGAGCTCACAGCCCACCTGGTGTTAAGTGGTTACTGGAGCCCATAGACATCTACAACGTAAACGCCACCCACCTTGAGACATAAGTTCTAAGGTCTCAGGTATACTTACAACAGCTGCCCCACCCTTCAAACTGAAACTCATTACTGTTTCATGGCATAGCATCAAATAAGGGTGATGGTACCTACCTGCGCGGACTCTCAAAAGGTCCTACCACCAGTACAGTCTCCATTGTACTTGGATAAATACTATCCTTCAAACTGGAACATTTGGTTTCTCCGTTGCAGAACAACAAACCAGACATGCATTCGTGCTGTATGACAGGACATTGAACAAAATTTGTAAAAAAAAATGCTGAGATATGAACAGAATTTATTTGTTTAAGCTTCCCGTGGGCGACGAACGAGACGCTTCTGCAAAAGTTCAACTCTGTGCACGAAAACAATCCGTTCTACGAGAAACCGCAACGTCGGGAGCCGGCCTTCGTCGTGAGACATTACGCCGGCAGGGTCAAATATCAGGTTCATTAAATTGTTACGATCATATCTCAAGTATATAAGTCTGCCTGAAATAATCTTTCCGTAAACTTTCAACATCTGATTATGGAGGCGAGCTTACGATTACACGAACGCTCTTTTGAATATATTTACGGACATAGCTCTGCATTTTGAGATGGCATGAATATTTTATTGATAGTGTAAAAGCCTTTCGACTGTAGCTATTAATTAGAAGATACTGGTATGCGATTTTGGCCTTTTCGCGCTTAGCATTAGTATTATCTCCTATATTCGAACCTAGTTTCTTAATTCCTAACTAACGGGCCTATTCGGAGATAAGTGGATAATGGAAACTATGGATATCTTGTACGGAATAGAGAAGTTTGTCAAGTTAGGCAACTGTTTTGAAAATTAAAAAAACAGAACATAATGAATGAAGCCCATTATCCGAGTATTTTATTTGATCTATTTGTGTTTTGTTCAAATACTCGTAATTATTATAACAAGCAAAACGAACCTAACGTAAAAAAATATGAAGTTTTTTTTTTTTTTTTTCAAAGAAAGCATCGTTGTTGGTTTCACCATTAAATGAAGCATTAACATGAAAGCGCGAATGCACTGCACATATTTTATTTTAAATATTTAATTATAATTTACAGGTCACAGCGATGCGGGAGAAAAATCTAGATCTAATGCGGCAAGACATCGTAAGCGTACTCAAAAATTCATCGCTGGCGTTTGTGAGGGAATTAGTCGGAGTGGATCCCGTAGCTGTGTTCCGATGGGCCATTGTACGAGCATTTTTCAGGTATAAATAACGTTCCTAAACACGCAATAATAAATAGCTTGACAAAGCAGATACATGTCCCTGGTCGAGCACGAGGATAGGAGTGAAGGAAGTGAAGTCGTCGTGGCTTAAAGGATAAGATGTCCGGTGCATTCGTATATAACGATGCACCGGTGTTCGAATCCCGCAGGCGGGTACTAATTTTTATAATAAAATAGGTACTTAACAAATGTTCACGACTGACTTCCACAGTGAAGGAATAAAATCGTGAAAAAAAAATCAAAAAAAAATCTAATTTGCGTAATTACTGGTGGTAGGACCTCTTGTGAGTCCGCACGAGTAGGTACCACCACCCTGCCTATTTCTGTCGTGAAGCAGTAATGAGTTTCGGTTTGAAGGGTGGGACAACCGTGGTCACTATACTGAGACCTTAGAACTTATATCTCAAGGTGGGTGGCGCATTTACGTTGTAGATGTCTATGGGCTCCAATAACCACTTAACACCAGGTGGGCTGTGAGCTCGTCCACCCATCGAAGCAATAAAAAAATAGTTTGGCTGGCCCCATTGCCTCCTGATTACTTAAAGCTCCGATTAATGCTTTAGCTTTAGAAACTGTCTAACCATTTACAAAAATTTAATTAAATTCTTCCATTGAAATGTTTTAGAAGGCAGTGTGTAATCGTAACGCGTCTTTTTTTTTTTCTAGGGGCTATTTTGCTTTCTTAGAAGCAGGTAGGAGGCATCGAGTCCAAAGAGTGGACGGTGCTCCGAGAATGCCACGAGCTTCGATACACGCCCACAACGATAGTATAATCAAGTAAGTTTCTTTTTTTAATTTAATTATTAAGTTTTAATTGCATTCAATGAAAATATTTCCCAGAAATTTTTAGCTTCAGATCAACTAACTTGCAAACGATTCAATTTGATTAACGTCTGAAAGGCATGAAGTTGTTATTTATTCATTACATTCTTAGTTCAATAATGAAAATGTTTTAAGATTTTTACTTCGTGTTTGAACTGACATTATGCTATTTTTCGACTTATTATTACCCGAAACGACACTGAATAATAAGTTTATAAATACGATAAATGTTTTATTTACTTATATACATATAAAAGCTTTTGTGCGAGCGAAGTTATGTGACGTAATGATATGTCTTGTTGCTCAGCCAACTGGTGACAGTATCATCAATCAATCTCGCAATCAACCGCATTGCGTAAGTCACCGTATTTACGGCATGCTTTATTTAATGTTCCTTGTGCACTTCGAGCATGTAACGATGTTTAGTCGATGTATCACACTCTGTTGCGTCTTTTTTTTTTGTTCGGGCTATAATTAGTTGACTGTGTACGAAAGTCTTTATATTTTTGTTCTAACTAGGTTGCCTTTAGTTTGGGTAACGTCGCCACACAGCAAACTAAACGATTTCGCGTCCGTCAGCCTTGTTGTGCAGTCGGTACGTTGCGCATTGTCTGTTGACCGTCATTAATTTTGTAAATCTCCCCTTCTCGCCGGACGTTAAGAACGCCGCACCGAACGGCGAGTAGAGCACGCGACGCTCCGTCCCGGACCAACCACGAGAGTAGAGGGAAAGAGACGCAGAGCTCGTCCCGCGTCGGAGGGAAAGGGACAAAGAGTTACAGGACCGCCGAGACGCGAACGAGACGGATCGATCGCGAGCGGGACGAGCGCGCCTTCGACGACGGCGATGTGTTGCAGCGCGCCAACCTCATCGTCATGTACGCGCCCCCACCCACCGCACCCCCCGCGCGCACGCATCCAACAATAATAGCTCACGGGCGCCGTCCCACTGCAAGATATGGTCCCGCCGCATACGATGTGATAAAACAAAATATTCTAAAGTCAACTCAAATTGATTTTTTTTTATTGCTTAGATGGGTGCTCACAGCTCACCTGGTGCTAAGTGATTACTGGAGCCGATAGACATCTACAACGTAAATGCCGCCACCCACCCTGAGATATGAGTCCTAAGGTCTCAGTATAGTTACAACGGCTGCCCCACCCTTCAAACCGAAACGCATTACTGCTTCACGGCAGAAATAGGCTGGGTGGTGGTACCTACCCGTGCGGACTCACTCACAAGAGGTGCACCAGTAAGTGATGTGAATAATAGTTTAACGGGTAATTTTATTAAGTTCAGCATTTCTACTTGGTGGCTACCCTCAGATGTTCAAATGAGTATATACAAAATTTAAAATCACTGATTTAATACAAATTAATCTAATTCTATTTTAAATTACCTAATAAACAAAATAGTAGACAAAGATAGCGAACAAAAATCATATTTCAAAGTATCCTGTAAGTAATGGTTTGTTTGGTGGTTTGTTGTTTTCAATATTGTATGCATCTGGTCACTATCTCCCTCCTGTACCGTGTAATTATCTTAACAAAAGCCTGTCCAATTTTCGGTAGGCTTGAACTATTATAATTATTTCATATCGCGTTTCATGATGAGAAATTGAAGAATTTTTACGAAAATTCTAGCCAAAACTACGAAGTTTATAAAAGAGCGATTTATTGTTAGATGAAAAAGTGTGTCAATGGGGTTGATTCATTTCATTCAGTTGTTTCGTGGTGACGGCTTTGTTTTTGTATATGTGTTTCTGCCGCTTTTTATGTAAACCTTTTCTTATTTAGTGGTGTTACGTTTAATACTATTATTATTATATTGGCCTTTTATTATTATTTTGTATTATATAAAACAAACTTAAATTTCAATTAATCGATAGTTGTGTGTTATTGATACACAGTGTGTTATTGATACATGTTTAAAATTTATTACAATAATAACACCAAAAAAGTTTAATAGTCAATTAACGTACATACTTACATTTTAAATCAATAGCATGTTTATAAAAAAAATGATATTAAACAAATGGGTTGGGATTGGGTGTATGTATATTAATCATTGGTTGGATATATCAAATCCTATAAAACCTATAAAAATGTTTGCTTACAAAAGTTTAAGTGTCGGTTTGTGATTTCTTTAAAAACCTTGATACATTGTATATTGATGAGGCATTCAATGTTAACGCAGGAAGAACAAATCGTTCAGACCACGTGAACGCGCGAAGAAAGGTCTTAAGAATCTGCAGAGCGTGAAAACGTTGGCGGGCAGGATCGCCGTGCCCGCCGGGAAGCGGAAGCAGCCGATGACCGTCGCCGCACAGTTCCAGCACTCGCTCGCTGCGCTCATGGAGACCTTGAACCAAGCGAATCCATTCTTCATTAGGTAATATTGTACTCTCTCATACTATCAAACACTAAACACGAAAAAGTATTCGAGGAACTTTAATAAATGCAAAGTAATATTATTGTACTCTCTCATACCATCAACCACTAAACACGAAAAAGTATTTTTAGGAATTTTAATTAATATAAAATGGCATTCAAATTGCGCAATGATAAGCACATCTTCCAAACACATGTCACACTTTTTTTTATTGCTTAGATGGTTGGACGAACTCACAGCCCACCTGGTGTTAAGTGGTTACTGGAGCCCATAGACATCTACAACATAAATGCGCCACCCACCTTGAGATATTAGTTCTAAGGTCACACATCCACAGATTCACTGCGATCGATATAAACGATATTATCGATTATATGGGGCTTACAAGGATTAATTTAATATTGCCAATAAAAACTGGTTATGGAATAACCATAATTTAAGTATTAAATTCTTAACGTAATCTTAGAGTATTTACAAAACGAGAAAAAAAACCATTTTATACATAGTAGAGTATAATAGATTTTTCGCAATCACTTCTGGCTTGTTGATTAATATTCGCGATGACTTCTTGATATTTTGATTCTTTAATTTCGCTTGTCGGTGTTATAATATGCCGTCACCTTCTTTACAGATGCATAAAATCGAACAGCGAGAAAGTACCTCACGTTTTTGACGACGAAACTGTCCAACGTCAGTTACGTTACACCGGAATGCTCGAGACGGTCCGCATACGGCAGGCCGGGTACAACGTGCGGCTCACCTACGAAGAATTCATACAGCTCTACCGGATACTGTTGCCTAAAGGGTTGCTGAGCTCGCAGACTGACGTCAGACATTTCTTGGCAACCCTCAACTTGGATAGGGATAATTATCAGTTAGGTCAGTCTCATACTAAAAACGTACCTTATGAAAGTAAATTGGTATTTTCATAACTTATAACAAAGAAAAACAATGCTTAACCCATTCACTGCCACCTTGGTCACCGGTGCCCTATGTAACGCCCTGAAGTAATTATGTCGATTTCTGTTGCTAAGAGCCTGGATTGCCCAACTTTGCCTTCTTAGAAATAGATATTCATAATATAGATTCATTCTCAGTATCTTCGGATTAGTTTTTCCTAGAGTCCACTAGATATTCTGGCGCCTTAGTATCAGAAATCAAAATAATTATTTCACTGTGCCACTAAGAGCACTGATGACCTAAATGGCAGTTAAAGTGTTAATATGAAAAAATTATCACTTAAGTCCAGATGTTAACAATAAAAGACATATGATGAAATTTAATTTGTATTCATTAAAGGTATGACGAAAATATTCATGCGTGAAAGCGAACAGACGAAGCTAGAATATCGGCTGCACCAGCAGATCATGGCCTCCATCATCACAATACAGCGCTGGTTCCGCGCAGTGCTCGAGAGGAGACGGTTCGTTGTGCTGCGACGCGCTTCGCATGTCATACAGTATTATTGCAGGTTTGTTTACCAAAATAATACTCAAGCTTATATTTTTCTACTTTACATATATTTTATATGTATATATTTATGATATGTATATGTATTTATTTAAGTACGAGTATTTGTATATATAAATATTATGTATGTTATATATACACATATGTTTAAGTAATATCACCTTCACACTACACCTACCAAGGTTCATCTCTGAACTTCCCTAAGGTAGACTGTTAGAGAATGTCTATGGCATTAAGTCCGCCTTTATACTTTCTAGTATATAAAGTTATAAATAAATAAATCAAGGTAGGACAGGGCTTCTTCAGAATTCTACCTCATGTCTCGAAAGTGGCAGCGAAATTCAGTTGTGATGTCCATGGGCTTCGGTCTAAAGCCACAAAGACCGTGGGACCTGGAGAAATAACAATAAATATAATTTCAATAACCACAATTAATATATCCTCAGACAATGGTTAACTGCACGACACGAAGCGGCGGTCAAACTTCAATCCTGGTACAGAGGCTCTCGCGTCAGAAGATGGTATCAAACGTTAAGCAAAGGAATCGTGGGCTTCCAAGCAATAGCTCGAGGATACTTGCTCAGAAAATCGTTGCCCGAAATCAGGAAGAAACTGCCACCACCCATAGACCGATATGAGGTAATAATCTTCGAGTATGAACTTGGCATGATTTTGTTGTGTGAATGAAATATAGATAGTCCCCTTAAATGTTTCCAGAAAAAAAACAAATAATATATACATTTGTTCCCTTGTACAGTGTTAAATGATTAGCAACATTTTCATTATTATCCAACTGTTCAGTAGCAATTTAATATATAAATAAAATATCGTTTCCATGAACACATTTATTTCAAACAGAAAATAACATAATTATCCAATAATGTAACACTCCATTCCGAGACTAACTGTTAAACTCATTGTCGTGGTCCGTGTCTGTGTTGACAGCATGACGGCAAAGCACCGCACGCATTGACGAAAGCCGAATTGTATAAACTTCAAGAAACTTGTTCTGAAACGTACAAGACTTGTATCGATAAACAGCTGTAAGTATATAATCATGTGTAAAAAAAATATATATCACACACATACAAATCCAAACTATCATTAAAAATGTATTTAGCCAAAGTCCATTGTTGTACGAATTTGTGATGAACTTCTGAGATAAAGATATACATGAAAAAACTATAAGAATTTTGTATAGGTAATGAATAATATAGTGATTTAAATTATATCTTAAAATGAAGTCAAATTCTTGTCAACAAAAACAAAACAAATATAACGTTCATAAAATCAATGTGATAAAAAAAACTAAATATTATTTTATAATTTTAGGGACCGGATATTACAATTGGACGCGGAAAAAACGAGACAATTAAGAGCTACACAGTCCTTGCCATTACAAAGGTAAGCTTTTTTTTGTTCTGTCGATTTTCTGATTTCTTTGGTTGAAAAACCATTTCAAAGAATAGACTAGCTAATTACTGAAACTCAATTCTAATGAAAAATAATCTTCAATTATCAATTTTTTAAAACAAATATGGGTGAATTATATTTTTCCTCCAATTTCTTCATGGTTGGCTTAATTGAAACAGACACTTATATTTACCATATGTACGATTCAAATGTAAGATATTGATAACCTCAAAACACTTTCGTGATTTCAATTAAAAGCATGGCTTAACGCTGCTGTGTCGTGGTCATCACTATGGTGCATAATAATCTGAATATGTTTTCTAAAATACTGTAATTAGTTCGTATTGTTATAGTTCGAATATTATTTATTAAATTGATGAAAGAAGTACCATGTCACAGGTAAAAATAAATTGAGGCAAACGGATCCACTTTCTTCACCCCACTGATGATTTTATCACCTTGAAAACGATGACATTTTGAATTGAATATTAAAAAATAACTACAGCTACATAATCTTTAAGAAATATTTAAATTACTTCATTAAAACTCTGATGTTTTCTAAAAAAACAAATTTTAAAATCCCACCTTTTTTATCAATACCCCATATTTACACATTTAAAACTCTAAAATTAATATAATTATTAACATTACAGTTTAGAGAAGAAACGCGAAAATATATCAATTGAAGAGAAAACATCACCGCCTCTAAACCACAAAGATAGAAAAACGATAACTGCAGAGAAAAATACCAAAATAAACAACAAAATAGATTCAAGGTACAAAATAGTCCAACAAGACTATATCTCCTATTCAACCTAAATCTTTGATGTGACCACTAACGAAAAACAATCTTTTTAATTACAGTATCATAGAAAATAGAATGTTATCTGAGGATAAGAGAAGATACCCACAGGGTGGAGTCACATTGCCAAATAAGATCACCCCAGAAGATCTCGCTAATGAAATGCTATGGCTCAGGATGGACCAGAATTACATAATGGCTGAAAATAAGGTGATTTGACGTGTAATTATTTTAAATTTAAATTTCATGTTATCTCAAGAAATTGTAAGAAGACATATAAAACAAAAGCATTAGATGACATATCTAAATGAAATAAAAACTTATATGTTACAGAAACGTGAAAGAGAACTGCAAGACCTAGTTGATAAAATGACAAGCAGCAGTGAAGATTATCTTCGACAAATAGGTAACTGGAACTCAAATGAGTCGGACAGTAACAGGAGTGCGTCAAGGTATGAAATTATATCTTCTAGACATATTTCTGTGTTCTAAGATTTGTAAGTTATAATCCAACTTTAATTTGAATAAAACTTGTAATGAGAATAGAAATTATGTTTGTCTTAGATAAGCAAGACGGTGGCACCAACCAGAATTAACTCATAAAATATCTCACCACTAAAGAAACATTTTCATTGTCTAATATGGGCAGACAATCTCACTGCACTTCTAATGATAAGCTTTTTTTATTGCTTAGATGGGTAGACGAGCTCACAGCCCACCTGGTGTTAAGTGGTTACTGGAGCCCATAGACATCTACAACCTAAATGCGCCATCCACCTTGAGATATAAGTTCTAAGGTCTCAGTATAGTTAAAATGTCTGCCCCACCCTTCAAACCGAAACGCATTACTGCTTCACGGCAGAAATAGACAGGGTGGTGATACCTACCCGTGCGGACTCCTCACAAGAGGTCTTACCACCAGTAATGTACGCATCTTATAGTTTTTGCGGATTTGATTTTTATTACACGATGTTATTCCTTCACCGTGGAAGTCAATCGTGAACATTTGTACCCGCCTGCGGGATTCGAACACCGATGCAACGCTCGATACGAATGCACCGGACGTCTTATCCTTTAGGCCACGACGACAAAAGTAGTTTGATAGTTTATTAAAATGATGTTGATCTCGTATTCCATTTCCAGACGTAGTTCTCCGCAAGTGTACCAGCGCAGTCTGTCCAGTACCGTGCTGGAACCGGCGCGAGGACTCGTCAGCCTGCCGCCTGTCCGCCGAGCACACCACGAGGCGTCCTCGTCCACCACGTCCTTGCCTGAGAATGATACTTCCGCGTCGGCACGTAAGAATTTTTCTTAACCATTTTACTCCACGCGCTTTGTGTGGGGAGAAACCAAGGCGCGGGGCGGCGTGGTAGGCCGCGTTCCCCCGACCGCTCCGGGGGAAGGTCTAGCGGTGCTCCATCAATGCGGGCTCTTGGCCGGTCGACCGAGGGAACTGGCGGTCGTGCCGCTGGCGGCCGCCGGTCCGGCGTCTGGAGGACGGCAGAATGGATGTAATATGCTCTGCGTAAACCCTGTCCCGCCGTCTCAATAGCTCCGACTGGGTTCCCGCCCGGCCCGGGGTAGGGCGCCGGCTGTGAGCGGCAGGAGTTTTTAGTGAGGTTCTACACCCACATACCGGCGATTTTCGGGGGGAAAAAAAGCGGCCACTGGTTACTGCACGTTTTAGCCCAACCGATATTGATAACTAAACTTATTAAATCCCCATCCTCATCACTGTAAAATGGTGGGAACTAATTGACTAAATCTTTAATGAACCGTTTGGAGAAGCTAGAGCTCAGCTTTTTTTTCTATTTCCCGACACCTGCTCAACTTTAGAAATGTTAAATAGCTAATGAATAAATGATTGCAAATTTAAACAAAATAATAATAATAATTTATGAAAACATAATATCACACACAATGTTGCAAACGTACTTTGTTCAGTTTTCGCGGGTCTTGATAAAATTAAAATAACTACGATTTAATTTATTTAAACGCAACTGTACCGTTCAGTAGTTTTTATTAATTATATTGCTTTACCCTGACATCGATAAGTATATGAGCACGTCTATTTCGTAAAGTGTATGAATGTCAGGTATCTCACTAATAAGAATAGAATAATGGATTTCTCTGATCAATGTCAAAAGCCGAAAGTTTCTAACCGCGTTTAAAAAATTATACAGAGCAAGCATCCCTCCTCTGACCAAAATTAACAGATTCTCAGAATTGAACTAAATTTACAAAATTATCACTTCTGCATTTTATAAAAAACTAGCGACCCGCCCTCGCTTCGCTTCGGAAATATTAAAACACACATGAAACCAAAAAAAAAAAAAAAAGTAGCCTATGTTCATCAGGGACAATGTCGGCTTCTAATGGAAAAAGAATTTTTCAAATCGGTCCAGTAGTTTCGGAGCCTATTCGAAACAAACAAACAAACAAATCTTTCCTCTTTATAATATTAGTACAGATTAAGCGTGTACGGATAACTAAGTGTAAATAGAACGCCAACTTGATTAGCAAAAATATATCTAGATACTATTGTCGGCTCCAAAGCAATTGAAAAACTGACAAATGTTGTTTGTTAGATTAACTAAACATGAAGCATAGTCATTAAGAACTAAAGTTGATTTGTGCTTAAACTACAGTGAAATGGTTTGCTTTGAATACAAAGTGATTTATTAATAGGTTTATTTTAATATGTACCCAGGCTAACGATGTTGTTAAACTTTGAATTGGAACCGATATTTTTGCTTCGGGAGAACAAAAGGAAACTCTAATTACGATTTCAAAATAAAGTACAAAATTAATTTAGATTTGTGATAAATGTTCAGTTGGAAATAGTTTGTTGTAGGACGCATTGGTCAATAGGTTTCATGAGTTTTATGACATGGAGGACTGCTTTTATATATTGATAATCTCAATGTTATTTATTGTGATAAGTCATACTGATGTGGGTGTTAAGCTTTTATTCTACTGTTGCTGTAAGTTCTACGTAATTATTAATCAAAGGAAGTTTTCAAAGCTGTTTTCCTTTTTATAATTCTCAATAGTAATTTCTGTTGTGTTAATTTAATTATAAATTTGCTAAATTTTATCAAATTATTGCTAAAGTTATTAATGCATCGCCGTTGCATTAATAACCTTGAACTTTAAGACTTTTTACGTTAGCATTTACATTAAATTAGGTATTAAATTTTAATTAATATTTGACACACTGGAGACTGTTAATGTATTCATTCTTGAAAAATGTAAGGTATTGTGTAAGTAATGTGATCACATATAGTATTCTCTGATAAAGTGGCATGCCACGGTAATCCTCTTACCGTGGCCGCGGCAAAGTCGTCGTCGCCCAAAACATGTATTGCTGGGCTCCTCTGATCCACTTTGGGTTATTTTAGGCTCTCCAAGAACCGGATACCGCCTTCGTCGAACAAAGACTTCGACTTGTAATATAGCTTATAGACACAGCCCACTGAATTTCACACTGGATCTCTTCATTGAGTCGCTATTCCGATTCGCTAGCAGATTAAGCGAAGCATTACTCTAACTAGGGCCAGTGTTAGAAAACTCTCAGGTTAAGCCTGTGAGCTCACCTACCAGTCCATGAGTAGCTAGAATAGCCCCTTAGGCTACCAACGATTAGGTAGGAAAATAAACGTATCGGACCTTTTCCAAAACAACTTCTGAACTTTTATTTTCGTAAGAACCATTGGCTAAAATGTAGAGTCCATACAAATGCGTCTGTCGTGTTTCAGCGTGCTCGGTGGGTCAGAGGTCGGCGGAGTGCGTCGTGACGTCACCCCCCGCACCCCCCGCGCGCCGCTCCCCTCGCCGCCCTCCGCCTGACATAATTGTCGACGCTTCACTCTCGCTACACGATGACGTCGATCGGTATGTAATTCTTATTCATTAATTAATGCAGCCCAAAGGGTATGACTATATTATGAAAATCTAATAATACCTAAAGGGGATTGCCCACTCTCCATAGTGTGCTAGGCCCAAGATGGACATTAAATATTACGATAAAAATGTACTGATTCAAATTCTTAAATGTATTGGATATCTAAAAAATATATTGAAATTGACGCCACTATTATAAAAAATATAATAAAAATAAAAACTCGTTTTGAGGTTAATTTTCTATATAATTAAGTGTCGGATTGTGAGATACTTCAAGAACTTTTCTTTTCTTAATGTTTAAGATGTTCCTAATGTATTTTTATCCAATAGGGTATAAAAACACACTTAATTCTTTAAATATCTATATTTTCTTCATCTTCATACACAATTAGTATCATCTAAAAATAGCAAAGGAGAGCATATACACGGTTTTAAATCTCGGTCAGGGTAAAACCACAATTCACACAATGTTTTTTAGTCGTAGTATGAAACGTTATTGATAAAAGTAAAATAAATCGAAGAAAAATCAAAACACATCCATTTTGTACGCAAGCACAACACCACAAGCAGCAAGCGA